GTCCGCCAGGGTTGCGTGCTGTCCCCACTACTTTTCAATGTCTACAGTGAAGCGATATTTCAAGAAGCGCTCTCAGACTCAATAGAAGGTATATCTATCAATGGAGAAGTTTTGAATAACTTACGTTTTGCAGACGATACAGTAATAATTACGGATAACAACAATGATTTACAGAACCTAATGCAACGCCTTAATGAACGCTGTCATGAGTACGGACTGAAGATAAACTTAAAGAAAACTAAATGCATGATCATGACTAAATCTGCACATGCAAATATCCAATTGACTATTGAAGATACTGCAATTGAGAATGTTAATAACTATAAATATTAAGGAACATGGATAACATCAGATGTAGACCAAACCAAAGAAATTAAGACACGTATTGAAATAGCACGTACATCATTTATTAAACTTAAAAAGTTTCTTTGTTGTCGGGATATAAGGTTAGAACTACGCCTGAGAATGCTTCGATGTTACGTGTTCTCTACTCTTCTTTATGGTCTGGAAGCTTGGACACTAAAACAAGTTCATCTGAATAAGCTGGCCGCCTTTGAATTTTGGTGTTACAGAAGAATCCAACGAATATCATGGATTCAAAGAATGTCAAACATGGAAGTAACTAGAAGGATAGGAAATGAGGCGGAAATAATATTAACTATTAAAAGACGAAAACTTGAGTACTTGGGACATGTGATGAGAGGGCAAAAATACGCATTATTACAACTTATTATGCAGGGCAAAATCCGAGGAAAGCGAAATGTGGGAAGACGAAGAATATCCTGGCTTAAGAACTTAAGGGAATGGTTTGGATGCAGTAGTGCAGAACTTTTTAGAGCAGCAGTCAACAGAGTCCGCATAGCCATGATGATTTCCAACCTTCGATAGAAGATGGAACTTAAAGAAGAAGTTTTCAGTGTTTTCGATCTTATTTTTATGGTGAGTAACATAAGGTCTTAATTTATTTTTATTCACTTGTAGATCTTAAAATTGGTTACAATTGATTATAATGACATTAGCTGCCTATTTCTTTTTTAAAGATCAATATTTTAATACATGTTTACGAGTAAAAAAATTCTAAGAAAAAAAATGCCAACAGGAGGCAATGCCGGTCAATTGACCGGTATTACCCCCATGCTATAATTTATACCCTATACTATTAATCCTTAGGGATTAATCCATCCATTTTTCGACATTGCAAGAAAAAAAAAATAAAAATCTTCAAGGTGTCTCATTAGGTAGAAAATCAGTATTTTCTGCCGAACAAGAAGCTAAAATAGCCACACAAAAAAAATATTTAGCTTAATTTTTTATGGCGTAACAGCAATAGAACTGAGAAAATTAGCATTGGGGTTTACAAGAGAATTTTTCTTGTAATAAAACACCTTTTTCTTGTAATTGGCATTACAAGAAAAAGGTCTTTGATTCTAGTTCTTTGGAATCGGATATTGATATATATCATGTGATAACAGTGACGATGCATACGAAGATAGATACCTGGTTTACAGCGAGTTTGGCAAAAACAATGAATTGTGGTATATATTTACCGTTTGCTCACGATGGGCTTATTCAGAGTGCAGTGGGTGGGATTCTACAGAGAGTTATACCTGCGATGACTGTCAACTATTTTTACATTAAAACACATATTTTTGTTATTTTTTGTTTGTTTTGTAATAAAAAATATTTTTTCACCTTTCTTACTGATTTACTTGAATTATGACCCATTAAGCCACATTCGTTAATCGTTTTATAACAAAAAAATGTTAAATAGATATTGATTTTTATTTTAATAATAACACAAACAAATTGACTGGCATTACCCACACTCATGACCGGTATTATCCATGTATGGTGACAATACCGGTCAAAGATACTTTTTTATGTTTTGTCTCTGTCAAAGACAAAAATTTTATATTTTTGAAATTAAATGTATCTTGCAATAAGTTAAAACCCCAAATTACGGATTGACGGCTTAAATTTGATTCACAGAGTTTTACTTTTTTTTATATTAAATTTTCTTCTTAGTTGACCGTAATTTGCACACTTTACCCTACGCCCAAAAATTGTATGGAATAAAAGTTGCTAAAAATTAGTCTATTTATTTATTACTTATTTTCATCGTTTTTTTATCCCCAAGATAGGATAGCTTTTACCTCCCAAGTAAAAGCAACCTTGGCTCAAGTTTAAAAGTGAAGTAGAGGTTAAGAGGAACCTAACTCCAAATTTTATAGCAAATCAGTCGTAATGAGGAAAATTAAACCTCAAAAGGTTATTTACTGGAGTATGTGTACGTCTCCTTAACATGTAGGCCAATTTCATCGTTTTTGTTCTTTTTCACCTTATTTTTTTTTTCTATTTTTAACTATTTCGAATTATTGCACTTAAAACGTTAAGCTTATGTCAGGTATTTTTATTGTTTTAGGCTAAAAATAATGGTGTGCGAGAAAATTCAAAATGATAAATTAAAACATAATACCAATGTGGCCGACTATGATTTCAAACAAGTAAAATATGTACCGGTCAGACAAGAACCACTAAGGAAACTAAAAGAGCAGAAAGGGGACACCTGGTTTCTTTATTTCACCATGATAACTAGTAAATCTACTGAATTTATTAATTTTAGTCGAATAAAAGTAATAAACAACTAGTATTAGTATTACTATAGAAAAGGAAGTAAAATCTCAAGTAAACGAGCAAATCGAATACGAGGGTGTTTAAATATTCTCACGTGAAAAAAATTATCAAACATAATATAATTTAACAATAAAAATTTTGAAAACAATAATTATACTATAAGTAAGAAAAGAATCATTATCATCATACAGCGTCTGTTTGCGTCCACAGTAGGACACAAGCTTCCTCAAGCTTCTTCCATTTATTTCTATGTTGTACCATTGCAATACAAATCATCATTATTTTTTTGATACCATCTTATCATAGAACGATTTAAACCACTTATATTGTTTTTATTTTATTTTATTTAATTCATTTAAAATTGTTTTGATTACCGGTTCTTTGGAGATGATACAAGCATCTTATAGGACTTATTTTAGATTGCTGCGATTAGATCATAAGATTAAGCAGTAGCATAATTCCAGCGGGGATATTCGAGTTTTTTAACAAAACCGCATCTCATTATATTTCTGATCGCAGAGTGGGTCACTTATATTGTATTTTTCCGAAAATTCCACGAGGTAAGCCGTTATAATTTTTCTATAGGCTGAGTTCTACCCATTTTAGTATGAACAGATAACTAATACCTTCTTCTTAAACTTATTTACAGAAGGAAAAATAGAGATGTTTCCTTTCAAATGTTTGACTTATTTGTTTTTCTTCATGTTCTATTGGACATTTAATTTTAATTTTGTATATGTCTTGGAATGAATATAGCAGTCACATCTAGTTAATGTTACTTCTGAGATAGACTTTGGAAATTTATGGATACTTTTGAAGCACTTATATGGGATTTAATAGGACACTAACTAGGACTTAATAGGACCGAGGCAGTTTTGTCCACAAAATCCACCTTACTTATCCATTTTTAAGAATGATTGGAGCCCTTTGCCGAGCTATGGATTGTCTTTACCTGGGAATACTGTGTACCTACGTAATCTTGTATCATATATATGATATATTATATATATATATATATATATATATATATATATATATATATATATATATATATATATAGTAGTTTTGAGTTTCTTGAACCGTATTATATTTAATATAAAATTAATGTTTCTTGGGTTTAGGTTCAATAAAGATATGTTACATGTGGAACTAGATTTTATTTTCCATTGCAATCAATCAACGTTTCGGCAGGAAACCCTTGCCTTTGTCAAGATTTTAAAATGTGTATTATATATAATATATATATATATATATATATATATATATACATATATATATATATATATATATACATATATATATAAATATATACATATATATATATATATATATATATATATATATATATATATATATATTATATTAAATGGCCAATTATATGGCCTAGGAGAACAAATTCGTTAAACTTCCCGTGCTCGAATCGGTATCAATAAAGTGTTATGATCATTTCGGCCTATCCCAGCCTCATTAGACACTTGGGCTGATACAAGGCCTATCCCAGCCTCATTAGACACTTGGGCTGATACAAATTCAAACTCGGAAAGTTAAACATTTATAAATTGTTTAATTTTTCTATTTTAAAAGATACTAATATTTATTTTTAATATTTACTAAATTTTAATTAAAATTTTACATGTTAATTTTTTATACGAAGTCCATATGTTTTTTATTTAATAATTATTATTTAAATTTTACAATACGTAAAAATGTTTTGCTTGCCAGCGAAAGAATCATTTAAAAATTCAGAAATAATTGTGTGCATTTTTGAAATATAGATGAAATCCTTCTCTTCAAATAAATTTAGCAATACATTTAATAAGTGGTATTTATTTATGATTTTCTGGTTAAGCTCTAGTACCTATCATCCTAAAATTTTTTTGTCTTCTCTTCAATTTTGTTTGTGTACATGTGGTAATGTCTCCACCCCCACATCTTTTCCTACTTTGTGCGACGCAGACTTATCCATTTTGTATGCCTTGTGTTTGTTGTGTTACAGATAGCGGGTTAGAGGTATAAATTTAGCACATTTAGCACTCCTTGGACTCTCTCCCAGAATCTTTATCTACCATCCCGCCATCCTGTGATTGCCGGAGGTTGACAAGAAAGACAAGATATCTTCTTATTTATTCAGTCTTAGTCTCCGTGTTAGGCCAACCATTAAACAATTTTTTGTGTTACTTATAAGTACTTGGATTACATAATGAATTCTTTTGATTAAATTTGACAAATATTTACTAGCAAAATTTTGTTACATCCAGTTATATATGACGCGTATTAGGAAAAAATGAAGACCTAAAAGAAGATTATTTATATTTTTATAAATATAATTTCAATATAATGCTAATTTAAGAATTTTTTATTTTCAGGTATTTTAACATGGCTTTCAGGAGGCTCATCAGTTGTTTGGCCATCCCCTGCTATAGTAAAACTAAAATCAAATGTCACAGGTGAAAATCCCCTGGGCAGACCTATTACCACTCTTGAAATATCGATGTTGCTTGGAACCCAGAGCGCAGTCTCATTACTTGGTTCTGCTTTATTACCAAAACTGGCGGACATATTAGGAAGGAAGCGCTGTATACATTTAATAGGTTCAGGAATGTTCCTTAGTATGTCAGCATTGGCGTTTAGTAACAATATAAACCAATTCATCATTTTCTTTACACTCACTGCCAGTTTTTTTGCTGGAATTATGGGTGTTTTACCAATGTACATTACTGAAATATGCGAAGATCATAATAGGGCTAAATATGGTTGTCTTATGGCCGTTTGTCTACCTTTAGGTCAACTGTACACATTTTTAATTGGACCTTTATTAAGTATTCAATGGTACACACTTCTATTAGCAGCACCTTTAATTCCCTTTATGGTGCTGTTCTCTCTTGTACCTGAGAGTCCAGTGTTTTTATTAAAAAATGAAAAGGAAAAAGAATGCATACTTGCTATAAGAAAACTAAGAAACAATAAAACTGATGAAGAATTAGAAAATGATTTCCTTAGTATTAATTCGAGATTAAACGCAAATGTTCAACAGGGAAACACATTTACTAAGCTATTTAAAACCAAGGAGGGCAGACTTGGTGTATTGTTGACTTTAATTCCAATGTGTACACAATTTTTATCAGGGATATCAGTCATACTACCTCTCTTAGCTCCTATTTTTAATGAATCTGGATCAAATATGTCAGGGAATAACATAGCAATATGTGTTGGAGCAACAAAACTAACATGCTTCTTTTTAACCTTCTTAGTAGTCGAGAAAGTTGGAAGAAAACCGTTGTTAATTACTATTTATAACTGGGAATAAACCACATTAAAGATAAAAATACATTTATTGACGTTTCAATTTCCAATTCGGAAATCGTTCTCAAATTACAAATAGTAAATTTACTATTTGTAATTTGAGAACGATTTCCGAATTGGAAATTGAAACGTCAATAAATGTATTTTTATCTTTAATGTGGTTTATTCCCAGTTATAAATAGTAATTAATTTACAATGCCACAAGAAAATAGCTTCAGAACAATAAAAACCGTTGTTGCTTCTATCTTCTATTGGTGCAGGTATTTCCATTTTTGTTCTAGGAACATTTTTTTATCTAAAACATATAGATTACTATTTAATTAACCAGATGCACTGGATACCTCTTACAAGTATATTATCATTCATTGTTTTTTATTCACTAGGACTAGGTTCAATCCCTTTAGGTATGATCAGTGTCATGTTCACTGTAGAGCTTAGGTCTATGGCGACTTCTTTTGTAATCACCACTACGTACTCGCTGGTTGCTTTATACCTTACACTATATCCTTTAGTATCTGAGGCTATTGGAATCTACTGGTGCATGTGGCTATTTGCAACAACTTCCTTTGTTGGTTCTTTTCTAATGTACATGTTTTTACCAGAGACCAAAGGAAAGAGTATAGAAGAAATACAAGCTATTTTAAAAAAATTGTAACAGTATATTAGTGATATTATTTAATTAACATTTAAATTTATTTTTATATATTTTTTACTAGGTAAAATATTTTTGTAAATATAAATTATATTTATTCAATTGTTTATATCAATTAAATAAAAAGAAAATAATATTTATTTGCCTGTATATATTAGTAATTAGCAAAATTTTTTTATCTAAAGGAATTCGATTTAGCTAAGGAAGCTATAGTGTATTTTTATGTATGAGAGAGTAATAAAACAATAAATTATGTATGCAAATCCCTAAACTGTTGATACGGGTGACTCAATGAAAAACAGATATTTGTCAACAAGTTTACAGAAGTATATAGGAAAACAATTTTAAATTGAGTATGACCACCAGGTATAAAGGTTGGAGCAGAATAGAATACAATAGTTGTGAGGGTTACTAATCCCTAAAAAAGGTTGCCAGTGTGGGAGTGATGGAGGTTAACAGGTACTAATGAATTTGCAAGAAATGTAAGATGTTTATTTTATTGGTTATATATAACCAATAAACGTTTAATAAATACCTACCTATTTGCAAAATAAAGTTTAATTCTTTAGATAAAATAAAACGTTTTATTTTATCTGAAACGAGTGCATTCCACGAAGTAAGGGTTTCAACAATCAAACATTTAATTCTTTAATTCCAGGAATCTACGACAGTAATTGACTAGATAATTACCTTCTAAACTTATTCCACAGAAAATGTGATAGTGGGTTTTTCCATTTTGTAGGAAGGTCCAAGTGGCGTATTCAAAATTCTTAACAGTTTACTAAAAGTAGGTACTTCAGTTGCAAGGTGCAGTTTATTGTGTATACTAGTGTTATGGAAAATTTGCAAGTGCCGTGTAAACGCCGAAAAATTGGTCCTTTAATAGTTAATGAAAAAACAATAATATTTAATTGTTTTAAATCATTTACAGACAAACGTTTATGTGAAAGTGTTGATGAGACCGTTGAGTTAGTTAGCAGTACACTTGGTGTTGGGAAATCTACGATTTACAGAGTTATTAAAGAAGAGAAATGTGGTAGTTTTCAAATGCCACGTAATGCTCCAGGGAAACCAAAATTTCAAATAGAATATCATTTTAAAGAAGGACTTCGACGGAAAGTGCATGAATTCTTTTTTAGACAAGAATTTCCAACATTGGATAAAGTTCTTGTCTCAGTTCGAGATGATAAGGATTACCCAGAAATGAGTCGAAGTACGTTATGGAAACTTTTAAAAGAAATAGGCTTCCGCTGGAAAAAGAATCCCAGAAAGTCTATTTTATTAGAAAAAAACGATATTTTCATATGGAGAAGACATTTTCTAAGAACAATAAAGGAAATGAGAAACCAAAAAAGAAAAATATTTTATCTTGATGAAACATGGATCAACGAGGGTCATACACTAAATAAATTTTGACAGGATGAAACTGTTACAAGTCAAAGGCACACTTTTGTTAATAACTTATCTACTGGTTTAAACCCACCATCAGGAAAGGGACGCAGGCTGATAATAGTACACATTGGCAGTTCAGACGGTTTTGTTGAAGGTGGTTTATTAACTTTTGAATCAACTCGTACCGGTGACTACCATGAAGACATGAACGCTGATGTCTTTCAAGAATAGTTCGAACAAATGATAGATCTTCTTCCTAAGAACTGTGTAATAGTAATGAATAATGCAAGTTATCACTCCAGACTTATAGAAGGACTGCCCACAACCAAGTGGTTAAAAAAAGACTTGCAGAATTGGCAAAGTTCAAAAAATATTACGTACCATCATTGTGAATTAAACCCGATTGAACTGGTATGGGCACAGATAAAGAGTGAAGTTTCAAGAAAAAATACCACTTTTAAAATTCATGATGTTAAACAGTTGTTTTTGGAGGCCGTAAATAATGTAAAACCTGAAAACTGGGAAAAGGCAGTAAATCACACTATTAAAGAAGAGGTAAAAATGTGGAAGCTGGACAATATTACTGATAAAATGATCGAGCCAGTTATTATAAATCTTGGTTCTGAAAGTTCATCTTCTGAATCTGATTTGGATTTGTAACAAGTAGCTGTAAGTTTTATATTAATACTTTTATTCATCTATTTAACATACCTTAGACGGTTTTAAAAACTCTTTTTTTTTTGTAATTTTTAAAAATAAAAAAAAATGTGAATTTTTTAAAACCCTTTTTAATGTAGGCCAGTCAGTTCTAATATAGTGTGTGATAAAAGAGGCCACTTTTGTTTACATACACATAACACTTTATAACACTGAAATAATTCATTTATTTTTTACAATTATTCAAAGTAATTTTTCAATTAATCTTGAGCACGCCCATGGAGTGGTCGGAGATACCAGTTAAAATTATGCTAATTACTCTCTCGTTCATAAAAATAAACTATAGGAAGTTTTAATAGGTGAGGAAATATAATGAAATTATAAGAAAAATAGTCGAAGCAATGGTTTTATTTTCACATAATAAACAGTTACATTACACTTATACGGCTCAAAATGTTTTATACGACTCTACCTCTGCAGTGGTAGTTGATATAAACATAAAGTAATGTTTAACAAACTTTTTGTCAATTTATTGTTTTTTGTTTTACTTAAATTTGAGAAAATATGATGAAATTGTGAGATAAATAGTAAAAGCAGTTTTATTTTTTCCTACAAACAGTTACATGTACTGATCTATGCAATCAGATTTTTTAGAACTTTTTCAGAACTTTTATTAGTTTTATATGAAGTTATTTAAAAAATGAGATTTATACCCGAGAGTATAATATTTTCATTTTTGATCGAATTATTAATGGTTAGAACAAAACATGGCACGTATAAGATTGTTTATTTACAATAAAAAAAACTGTTTTTCAACATTTTCGCTGCAATAAAGTTAAAAATTTTAGTTTGTGATCAAATTAATATAAAAATCCAGGAATAAAATTATTAAAATTTTTTGTTAAATGAGTTGTTAAATTTTCTGAGAATGTTAAAATATGTTAAAATTTATTTGAGTATACTAAATTCATAAAAAATTTCCGTATATATTTTTGTGGCATGAATGAAGAAAGTTAATTTTATTATACAGGGTGGTCCTTAAGTAATTGTACAGAAAAAACCGGAGATTCTACACTTTAAAATATTACGATTTAAGTCAAGTTGCTTTTATAAAATGTTGATATTAAGAAAGATACAGGGTGTTAAAGTGGAAATTTAAAATTTTATTTTTCACTATAACTTTTATGATTGTCAAAATTTATGTATAAAAATTTACAACTGGGTACTAATAAATGGCGTAATAAAAGCGTGTATAATTTTAGCTTTCAAAATACTTGGGCCATACAAGGTCTCCCAGTTGTGGTAGTTATTGTGTTCTTTCATCACTGAACAAATTGCCTGTGTACATTTTCCAAGTATTAAGTATATCGCAAGGGTCCTTTATTAGTTCATTTTGGTCATTATGTATACCAGTAACTTGTTTTTTTTTGAAGACACCAGCAATTTCTTTAATTTTCTTGTGAAGATTAAAGCTGTCGCCGAGTTTATATAGGTTTTCAGCCTCGGTGCAAAGTGTAATCATCCAGATCTCCTTCGCCGCTATAATTTCTTTACGAATTTGACTGTTTATATTTCGGTACCCTACTTGGTCCTGCCTAATCTTACACTGCCTGCGTTGTTCAATCATCTCTAATATTTCTTCTGTCATCCACTAATTCTTGGTAATTGTTTTACTCTCGAGTAGAAAAGTGTTGTTCACCTCATCAAATGATTCTTTTATGGTGGTCCATGACTTTTCAACATCATCCTCAGTTGACATATTAGAGAACCTATTGTTTAGTTCCTCTGTGTACGTTTCACTGTTTTTGAGTTTCCTAATATTTACTGATGACTTCTGGTGTTTTCTTTTAGCCGTAGTGAGCCTCAGTTTGATATTTGCTACTAAGAGATTGTGGTCGGATCCTATGTCTGCTCCAGTAAATGCAGATACCTTAGTAATAGCATTTCTGTACCTTCTATTAATTGTCACATAATCTATTTGGTTCCTTATAATGCCCTGATGTCCGTCTAAAGGCGACTTCCACGTGTAAAGCCTCCTGGGTGGTAACTTATACCAAGTATTCGTTATGACTAGATCTTTGTCTTGGCAGTACTGTATCAATCTGTCCCCTCTGTCGTTTCTCTGACCAAGACCATATTTTCCAACTACGTGATCTAGGGCTCCTTCCCCAACTTTTGTATTAAAGTCTCCTAATACGATGTTAATTTCGTGATTCTTAGTCACCTTTAAGGCTTCGTCTAGCTGTTGATAAAATCGCTCTAGTTCTTATTCTGCCTTGTCTGCTGTAGGGGCGTAGACTTGTATAATATTTATGTTAATTTTCCATGCAACTGAATAAGTATGACTCTGTCGGAGATCGGGACAAAGTTCTTCACGGAGACGTGCAAATTTTCGCTTATCAGAACTCCCACCCCATGTCTGCGGTGAGAGTCTGTGCTATCACTGCATGAGTAGTAAAGTGTTTTACCAGTAGTATTGATGTTAACTCTATTCATTTCCTGAATTAGATTTTGTATTTGCCTACTGCAAATAAGCTTCTGCCATTCCACGTAGCAATTTTGGTTATCTTATCAAGTTGAAACCGGGAGATTCTTCGCACCCCTTGGCCATTTAAGGCCTGCCCGGAACTAGGGGCCATTTGTTTTGTTTCTTCCATGACAAGAAACAATCTACGGACAAATGTTCTGAGGAATATAGTTTCCTAATCGTAGCCCTCTAACTGTTTTAGTCTCACCTACGGTATTCTACTTAGAAGCCGGTTTAGGATCATTTCCTTTACGCCTAATTCTAGTACTGGTGATCACTGCTGCCCTTCACCAGGTTGATTTAATACTATCCCTGGAAACAGGGTTGCCACTTCCATTGACTTCACTGTACCGAATACTATATTCTCCACCTTCATAATCTTTGTTGTCTTCACCCGTATCCCTGGGCAAGGGGGCCGTGCTATACCCCACGGAACTGGGTCCCTATCTGAACTTAGCCATCTACTAGCTCCGGCCTACTGAAGCAAGAGATGCCCACCTCCGCGACATGGACGCGCCAGACAGGAATTACTCATATGAGCGACAAAGAAGGTGACTCTGTGCCCTATGAGCCGAGTTAATGGGAATGTGTGGTTCCATTCCCAAAGGCCCAAAAGAGAATGGTTCATTCTACACAAAAAGTGCAAATAAATATTTTTGTGTATAATTATCTCAGCCACATTTTTAATTAAAAACATTTTTTTCTACGGCGTGTAGATTCTTGGTAAATCGATTTTGTTGCCTTTTTTCACCCTACGGGTGTGTTTTAGGGCGAAGCATGGAGGTAAAGTTAATAAACCTTTCAGCTCCTTTTTTGTGGTCCCAAAATTTATATTCTTGGCAAAATTCAGCTTGTTAGTATGATTTGAGTGGCTGATATGGGGTTTAGTGGCATTTTGGTCTCTGAAGACTGGAGTATGTGTGCTAACTAAAACCAACTTCAAAATGTGTTAACTAAAAATAAAAGTATGGATCTTTGAAACTTATAAATTTAGAATAAAATTAAAAGTACAAACCTTAAATTGTTTATTCGTAGCTCTTAAACAAAATAATTTAAGATACTCGAGTCTAAATCAACGTTTAAGTATTGGATGTTAAAATATTTATAATTTACATAAATAACAATGCCATTCATATTATTTTTATATCAATATACTGATTGGTTTATCATTGATATCTAATGATAAAATCTTCAAGTAAATCGTAGACCTATGAGATAAATTTTACTGCAAATATTTAATTTTACTAAGTATAAAAAGTAATACCATGACAGAGAAAGACATTGTTGACACCGAAACATCTACACTTCAAGAAAATATGAAGTATGAAGATGATCACAATGGTGGTAGAAAAAAACCAGACACGTTATTTCTGTATTTTGCAGTTGTAACTGGTAAGTATTATGTAATTTTCTTGTTTTAATCTAAAACTTTTAACATTGTCTCTTATATCAACACGACGAAGCGCTGAAATGTATGGACGAGCGCATATTGCAGTCCTTCTGCACAAAATTAAATAATTTTTTGTTGTGTTTGTTACTATCAGGAAGGGTTTGTGTAGAAGATACTTAATAAAAATTTACGGAGAGACTTCAAAAACAGTTATTCTCCCATTTTAAATCGCAATAAAGCTTATAGATGGCGCCATCCTATGACTAACAAAGAAAACTACGATTAACACAATAAATGTCAGTATTGATAGGTTGGGCAACAGCCATACCACACTTTCTCATTCGATCACCGAACTCAAGCAGTGTCGGTTGCGGCTACCACTTACGGATAGGTTAAATGGACCGTTTGGAAAGACTCCATGTTATTGTCATGTGTATTCTTTCTTCTCCGAATCAGCTGTACTGATTTTCATGAAATTTGACATGTATGTTCTGTAGCTGTATGGCCGAGGTTAGGTTGTTATCTATTTTTTATACCCCTAAGAGGTAATGCTGGTTCCTCCGATTTTTAACAATTTTTATTTTATATTTTATTTTATTATTATTATATTTAAAATATTATTATATAATATTTTATTTTTATTTTTATGGTTTTAGGATGTGCAGTTACAAAATATAATACAGTAATTAATTTTCACCCCTCTATTACTAACCATTTTTTTTTAAATTGCCATATTAGTGTCACAGAATTTATTGCCATACTTCTCTGAAATGGCTCGACCGATATTTATAAAATATTACGTAATAATATATTCGGTTAGTTCGAGAATAGGTCACCCCAAACATTTTTTTATGTATTTTGGACAACATTTTTTATTTTAACTTTTATAACGTCGCATTAAACAATACATACAACACCCTAATTTTTACCCTTCTATCACCAACTCCAATAGTTTAATAGCCATATTAATGTGTCACAGGGTTAGTTGCAATACTCCTTTGAAACGGCGTGACCGATTTTTATAAAAATTTTCATGTATGTCTATTGGGTAGAATTGGTCGTAATAAATTTTTTATATTCCTAATTAATAAGGGTGGGTTTATTTTTTGAACAAAATTTTTTGATGTGACACTAAAAAATACATACTTTCCTTACCTTTTACCCCAACATTACTAACCCTTGTTTTTAATTGTCATATTAGTGCCATACTTATTCGATACGGCTTGACCCATTCTTATGAAATTTTTTATGTACATTTAGTCGGATAATTGCTCTTAATCTATTTTTTATACACGTAACGGGAAAGAAATATTTATCCATTTTTTTATTTTGTTCACAAATTTCTTTATTTCATAAATTTCTTTATGATGTGGCATAAAAAAGTCTTTTATCAACCTTAATTTTTTGTCTTCTATTACTAATCTATAATAAAAATTTTAATTATTATAATAATATCCTATTAATACGCAGCAGGACAACAATGAGTTGCACGATAGCCTGGTAAGAGAAATGGCACGTGCCGTACAAGAATTTAATGGTACAAACCAACTTTTAAACTCTTATAAACCTGAAGGAAACTAGATGCGCTGTTACAAATTATAAACACTGAAGTCCTACACACATCTTAATGGGATCAGCCAAGAATATGTCGACAATACAGCGTCGAACTATTGGTTAACATCAGGGAAGATGTTTCCCGAGACTGTGGGTTTCCTACTTGCCATTCAGGATCAAGTTATTTCAACTAAAAATTACCTGAAATATATTGTTAAAGATCCTTAAGTCCAAAATAACAAATGCCGATATGTATGCCAAGCCCAAAAAACCATCCAATATCTTACCGGTGGCTGCCAGGCATTTGTTGGTACTGATTATAAAGATTATCTAGCAAAGATTATCTACCAAGAACTAGCTGACAAACTGAGACTTCTCTAACCCGACCATCTTCCTGATTATCAATACGTCCCTGACAAAATGCTTGAAAATGACAACAGCAAGATCTACTGGGACCGCACAGACCAACCAGTGGCGCATAATAGACCGGATCTCATACTAGGTAATAAACTTACTAGGCAAACAACACTTATTAATGTAGCGATACCCAACATCAATAATTTACGTGTTAAATACAACGAAAAGATCGCCAAGTACAAAGATCTAGAAATACAAATCAGGAGACAATGGAGAATGGAAAATTCCCAGACAGTACCTATTGTTCTATCTACTATTGGTGTTATTCCCAAAAATCTTCCAGAGAACGTAAACCAGCTAGGTTTAAATGAACATCACTATAAGGCCATGCAGAAAGTTGTACTCCCCGCGACGTCCAGATGTGTACAAAAATTTCTGGGAGATACTCCAACATACCAAGTCACCTAGGGCTTGGTATACCCATTGGTATACCATTGGTTATCCCAGATAGCGTAGGTATCTGGGATAAGTGAATTTTCCTCTTAGAGGGAATGTGAGCCGTATGGCTAGATCTGGTAATAATAATACAATTATATAATATACACAACCCTTAATTTGGACGGTTATATCACCAATCTCCTATTTTTTTAATAGCGAAATTATTGTGACAGAGTTATTAGTGTCACAGAATTAGTTATCGTAATGTAATAAAGGTTTAAAAATTTCACCTCTTTCTGCAAACAAAATATCTCAAATAGCTCATATTTCTGAGCAGTTTCGGTCTAATGCTCCTACAAAGATAAATAATAATGCCCCTCCTAATTTCGCTAAATTTTTGGGCTCTTTTAATACCATGTCGAACATCCCTTTGTTTAAAATATTTAAAACAAAAAAAAATTATTTGAGAATAAGTCTGGTGATCTGGGAGGCCACTTTTTGATCGTACCACCAGTCTGGTTTTTGCTGCAACCAAATATCGTCAATGTTGACAGGAAATAATTCCACTTGCAAAATAATTTTATTTTGTAACAATTCTGCCCATTAAATGTCCATCAATAATGGACCGAGAGAGAAAGTTTTTGGGGGTATTGTGTTTTTAATGGTGTTTTATCGGTCAACAAAACGTTTTTTAAAAAATACTCATTTTGCTTATCCATTACAAAACTCCACGCGTTAGAAATTGTCCTCAGCTAATAATTCTTGCTATTAGTTGAGTTATTGAAATTTAAAACAATGGTAACCGTTTTGTTTCAGAATATTCCTAACAGTTCTATCATTCATGGTAACTTGTTCATTACATAATAAAACTTTCTATTCAATTATATTCAATATATTTATTCAATGCAACTTTTACAAAAGATATTTGAATGATCAGGACAAATAAACCTCTTACATGCTTGACATCTTGTACGAGATTTTCTGTCTTTTTCTCATCCGCAGTCTTTACACCTTCCACATTTTGGACTTTCATTTGCATTCCACTGGTTCCAGCTCTATCTATCTATCTAATTACAATTTTTCGGTCCATCTTTGGACATAGGCCTCCCCAATCCTTTTCCATTCTTCTCTGTCTATCGCTACAGTCATTCACCTAGAGCCCACGTGCTTCTTGATATCATCTGCCCATCTCATTTGGGGCTTGGTTGTTATTCGGGTAGTTCGACATTTTTCTGTTAAATTATATGTCAATTTTTTTATAAAAAGCCTTCTTTTATGTAGTTTGTTTCTAATATATTGAGGGTTTACATGCATATATAACATATATGCGTATTCTAGTTCCTCTTTTGCAGGTATAAGCTGACGTTAATTTATCTGTTGTATCTACACTTCCTTTGGTTCTATTGTATGCTAAAATAATGTCTGGTTTCTTATGTTCTTTCAATGACACCTGGTCATCTAAATGCCTCGACGATAAACGAATAACAGATTTACCCTTTTTAGGACTATAAGAAACTAAAGTAATATTCTTCTGAATCTCAAAAATTGATGATAGGGCTTCTTTACTTGTATTTTGTAGAAATTCAACTGGAATAAAGGTTTTGTTCTTTCGTAATGTTCCAATTAGTGTTAGTTTACGTTTTAATAATTCAGTCGCTAAATGGTAGTCAGTAAAAAAATTATCCGTGGTTATGTTTCGACGAGAATTCTGAACATTTTTTATAAGTCGTAAACTACACTTCTGCCCTGATGTACGTCACGGGGCTGATTTTCTGCTTTTCCTGTTTTCCTGTTTAGACTTTTTCACAATACACATACTGTCATCGCCAGCTAATTTGACGGTGCGCACAAACCCAAAATTGCTTAGTGGCTAGGTGGTGGTCTTTAGTCTCCTCCCAGTTATCAGGTGCGTAACACTTAAGTGATTTGCGGCTATTATTTTTCAGACTTCTTATTATTTCGGATAGTTAAGTGTATTTGTGACAATTTCTAACGATGGCATTGAAAAATCACTTAAGTGATTTGCGGCTATTATTTTTCAGACTTCTTATTATTTCGGATAGTTAAGTGTATTTGTGACAATTTCTAACGATGGCGTTGAAAAATAGTAGAAAAAATAATTCTGTTATTAGTGGAGAATCTCGGGAGATTATATTTAATGTGTTTAATTATTTCAAAAGCGACATTCGCAGAATAATTTACGATTTTTATAAAACAGAAAAATGTCGGGTTACGGTAAAAAAATTAAAACGAAAAATTCACAACGATTTGGATATCACAATTTCACAAACATCTTTAAGGCGACTTCTACGCAAAATACAATTTCGTTGGAGGAAAACCGAAAACAACTGAAAAGTGCTTGTAGAAAAAAGTGCAATAAGAGCTTTGAGAATAAAATATCTCAGGCAAATCAAATATTTTCGGAGTCAAAATGTAAGAACTGGACTGACGAATCAACCAAGGGGTTATTTTCAAATATTTCCAAAGGTCAACGACTAATAATAGTGCATGCCGGTGGGGATATGGGATTCATACAAAATGGCTTATTAATCTTTAAATCAGGTTTAAAATCAGGGGATTACCACTCTGAAATGAATTCAGACAACTATGGAAAGTGGTTACAAAAACATTTATTACCTAATTTACCTGCTAACTCGGTATTAGTTTTTGATAACGCACCTTATCACCATCATTCAGTTGGAGCAGGTACCTTCATCAAACTCAAACAAAAATCAAATGATAGAATGGTTAATGCAGAAAAATATTTCATTTACACCTAGTGCTTTAAAACCTGAACTGTATGAAATAATTAAATATCATAAACCTCATCATGTAAAATACAAATTCGACGAAATTCTACATGCGCATGGACATATTCCTTTACGTTTACCTCCTTACCATCCTTACCTAAACACTATTGAACTAATATGGGCTACAGTCAAAAATAATATAAGGCAGACAAACGTTACATTTAAGCTAGCTGACGTATAAAGAAAGAAGAGGAAGAATTCACTAATATTGATGCAAATGAGTGGAGAAAACGATGTTACCATGTCATTAAGAAGGAAAATGAGTATATGGACAGCGAGATAGTTGCTGATAACGCCACGCAAATAGCTCCAATTATTATAAGTCTTGACAGTGACTCTTCAAGTACAGAGTTTTCTTCTTCCGAAGATGAAGAAAATTATTAACAATCAATTTATTTTCAAATAGATACCACTTTTCAACACGGGTACTTGTTTTAGTGTTATAATAAAAACCAAAATATTAAAATTAAATAATTACTGTGTTGCATTTATTTATACAATATCCTCCATTTAATTTGAAACACAATATCAACGTAGATTTGTGAATTAAATTCAATCATTATTGTATAATTTGTTTACTAAGTTACTAAACTACTAATAAATATTATAAACCAATGGCTTACTATTTAAATTGAATAAAACAAAATTACAATTTCATCTTTCTAATAATATATTAAAGCTTGCGAAAAATATTACTTTTTTAATTGTGTAATAATTATTTAACCTATACCGCTACGCTACTGAATATACTTATCAAAAATAGTAAACCAATAGGATGAATCATAGGGCGTACACATAATTTATTTCTCTGTGACGTTGTGCGTACTTTCTCGCCAAGTTAGCTGGCGATGATTGTACGAATATCCCAAGCGTAGTTTCAGGAAGAATCAGTAGATAGAACAACACTGTCGGCGTGCCACATACGCTACTACGAATCGTAAAGGAGAGGCAATCCAGTGGAACAAATGAATTAGTTATAAAATGTAGCGATGTTATTTTGTGTACAGTATGTATGTGTAAAAAATCCATAAGAAAATAATATTTTTTAAATGACATATATTAAAAAAGTTAACCAATACTTATTTTTTAGCTACAATACTGATGTTAGTAAATTCTGCATTATCCGTCTGGACTTCTCCAGCTATTGTCAAAATGCAATCAAATAACCCAGATGAAAATATTTTGGGCAGACCAATAACGACCTGGGAAACTTCTATTTTACTAGGTGTACCAGGATTAGTTTCATTAGCAGGATCAACGTTTTTACCGAAATTGTCTGATATACTAGGAAGAAAAAAAAGCTTGCAACTGATGGGTTTAGGAATATTCCTTAGTACAATCGGTTTAGCTTTTTGTAATACAATAAACCTCATGACAATATTGAGTTGTTTTATCCAAATATTTTGCGCAGGTGTAATAGGTATTTTACCCATTTATTTAACAGAAATATGCGAAGATCATAATAGAGCTAAGCACGGATGTTTAATGACAGTATTTTCACCAATAGGTCAAGTATACGCACTTAGTCTTGGACCACTATTTAATCTAAGAGTTTTTACACTGTTATTATCAGCACCTATGGTTCCTTTCCTAATACTATTCTTTTTTGCTCCTGAAAGTCCAGTTCACTTACTATCGAAAGGCATGGAAAAAGAATGTATAGCAAGTTTAAAAAAATTAAGAAAAAACAAAACAAAAAAAGAAATTGAAAATGAGTTTTATAATATAAACACAAGTATAAAGGAAAGTGAAGAGAGCAAATTTAGTTTTATTCAACTTTTTGGGACGAAAGAAGGAAGAGTAGGTTTGATGCTAGCGTTTGTTCTCATACTTTCTCAAAACCTGTGCGGTGTCCAAATTATTTTTCCTTTATTGGGTCCTATATTTAACGATTCAGGATCTAAACTATCTGGTGACGTTATTGCTGTTATAGCAGCAGTAGTTAAGCTAATCACATTTACTATTACGACTTTTGTTATAGAAACGACTGGAAGAAAACCCATGCTTATAATATCTTCAATTGGAGCAGGAGTATCGTCGACTACTTTGGGAATATTCTTTTATTTAAAATACATTCAATCACCGTTTGTTGAATCATTTCACTGGGGACCATTATTAAGTGTTTCAGCATTTATTATTAGTTATTCTATAGGACTGGGACCCATTCCTATGGCTATAGTTTGTGAACTTTTTCCATCTGATCTAAGATCTACTGCTTTAGCTATTATCTCGACAGTTAGTGCTCTTGTAGTAACAGGGTACACAACTTTCTACCCTGTTTTAGCCGAATTAATTCACACACATTGGTGTATGTGGATATTTGGACTGTCTTGCTTTGTAGGAACTTTATTAATCTCCACAATGTTGCCAGAAGTCAGAGGAAAAAGTGTTGTTGAAATTCAGGAAATTTTAAGAAAGTACACGTTTTGTATGAAATAGTATTAATTTATTTGTGATATATTTTATTTTTATTATAAATTTTAAAAACTCTTGTTCGTTTTTCTTATCTATCTAATCTCAGATCTACTGCTTTAGTTAATATCTCAACTGTCAATGGTCTTTTAATAACAGACTATACAGTTTTCCACTCAGTATTAGCATAATTAATTTTCACACATATACCTGTTTAGTTTGGGTTCTTGAATAAGAAATTACCATTTATTAAAATATATTTATTATAGGTTTAACACCTACTTTGTAAAAACCTTAGTTGCTCTCCCGCAGAATCATAACCTATCTCTGTATATAGTTAAACTAACTCTTCTCATGTCCTACGATCTCTGTATAGTGGGCAACTATAGATACACTAATACAAAATCCCCCTTTTAAGACTTTTAGTTAAATTATACACAATATTAATACAAACAGCATAAAATCGTTTACTAAAGCTTACAACCATTGCACATAATCATTCTAGAGAGTAAGAAGGTTTTCTTATATCTCGTTTGAGAATGGCTGAAATAGGAATTTTTGCAATACTTTGTGACGATTTAGGGGTCGACACAAATTAGCATTGAGATGACACTGATGGTGACTTTGCATCCCAAATCTCAGTAGCAGTCTTTGAAGAAAAATTTAATCTAATGTAATTTCTTGATCTTGCTCTGTTATGATCTGCTTAGACAGATTACATTTTGTATGTTGATCTCATTATTGTATACTACGTTCCTTTTTATGTTCAAAATTATTACTATTATTATGGGTACCTAAGGACTCAGTTTACACCGTTGGGAAAAACTGAGGCGCTTGACCTAATAAGGTGCTGGTATTAAATGCCATCTATTACGGCGACTTAAAACTTTAATATAAATTTTAATGTCCGTTCTTCGTTTTTTTTTACTAACTCTACAACGTGGGGTGAGTCTTCACCACATCAACTATATAGGGTGATGCGGTATCTCCACTACTTTTTAACCTTGTATTAGAGAAAGCCATGAGGTCGGCCGAAATAAAAACAGAATTGCTATCGGTTCAAAGTCCCAAGCTGTTACTCGCATATGCAGATGACATAGATCTCGTTGGAGACTCCATCCTATCCACGAAAGACATTTTGAACAAGGTGGAAGGAGCAACAAGTGAAATAGGGCTGAAGATTAATGAAGAGAAGACGAAATATATGTGTATAAATAGAACGACACGAAGAGACAGAATAGGACAAAATATCACGGTCAACACCTTCAATTTTGAGAGAGTACAACATTTTAAGTATTTGGGGGACGTAATCACAGCTGACAACGATGTCACTGAAAAAATAAAAGACAGAATCCAATCTGCAAACCGCTGTCTATTTGCACTGGATAAGCTCATAAAATCAAAAAATCTTACAAAGTTTAAAGAATAAAATCTATAAATCCATCGTCAGATCTGTAATAACATATGGATGCGAAACGTGGACCATAACCAAAGCAAACGAAGAAAAAGCTCAGACGCTTTGAACGAAAAATACTTATAAAAATTTTCGGACCTCACCATGACATCACCACAAACCAGTATAAGATCAGAACCAATATCGAATTAAAAGCACTCTACAACGACGCCGATACTGTACAAGAAATTAAATCACAGCGACTAAGATGGGCAGGCCACGTACTGCATAACGAAAGACTTGTAAAACTTGTATGGGAGGAGATTCCCACAGGCAAAAGACCACTCGGACGTCCCAGAATGCGATGGAGAGATAACATCCAAGCAGATCTCTGGAAGCTGAACATTCCATTTGAACCTAGGTTGATGGAAGACCGAACGAATTGGAAAAAAGTTGTACAGTCAGCCAAGACTTACCCAGGGTTGTAGCGCTACGTGATGATGATGATCTTCTATGATATTGCGCTTCCATTTCCCATTGCTGTACCCCAATCCTAGATGAATCAGCTTTGCTCACCTTCTGACAGAATGATTAATTTGGGGTTTACAAATAACTGTTGTTTTTCTATCGCAACTTTGTGTACTTTTACCTATAAACCAACCTCGTGTTATTATTGTCATCTACCTGGGTATGATTGTGCGAGTTTTATAGTTATTTTCGATGCGAGACTCCGTAGCGAGTACCGATGTGGGTATAACTTATTGGCATTATTCCTTATTAATAGATGTCCTTTGAAGCCTAACAAAAACGTTTGTTGAAATTATGGCAAATCGCTCCTACCTACGATCAAAATTATTCTGACGATGATGGAAGTAAAAATTAAATCGATCAAATTGAGGAACGGATGGCAACAGTGAATCGGAACAAGATGTGTCCGACGAGGAAGAAAAAAGCAGAAATAATACTTTGGCGCTTATTAAAAAAGATTGAGTTACTACATGGGAAAAGGCTGCTCCACCGAGAAATATTAGAATAACACTAGAAAATTACGTAGTACCTACCTTTCATCATCACTGACAAAAAACATACAGTCAAAGATGTTACAGTCTTAAATCAATTTTCAATTGCAAGCGATCATAGAATGGTCCGATCAACTGTAGAAATTAATATTAAACAAGAAAGACTGAAGATAGTAAAAAGTAAAAAATTCAAACTTTGGGTGCGCCCAACGAATGAACTTGACTTTGAAAAATATATCACCAGTAACTTACTCAAAAATACCATAAGAGAAGACGTAAATAACTCAAACGAATAAATAGTAGATACATTAACACAAGCTCAGGAAAAATTTGGCCCTAAACATGAAAGATCGTAGAATACTGTTCGTAGTCAAGGAAATGTTGACTCACAAGATATAAACAGCATCAATAAAGAAATCTCTAAAGCCATCAGATGGGATATTAGAAAATACAACAACGAGAAAATTATAAAAACTATAGAAGACAACAAAAGCATGAAAGCATTGAGGAGAAAAATGGAAAATGGCAAAAAAGAAATCTTCCAACTTAAAGACAAAAATGGAAATATTATCTCAGATAGACCAAGCATATTACATATAGTGGAAAGTTTCTATGAAACATTATATAAAAGTCAAGTTATTCCAGAGCTTATCGAACAACCAATACAAAAAGTACATCATGTAAGATCGGAGGATATACCATCACGAGAGGAAATTCAACATGTCCTCAAAAATATGAAAAATAATAGAGCTCCGGGGGAAGATGGTGAAGTCATTAAAACAATTAAACTAGTAAGTCCACTTTTGATGTCCCGAATCCAAACACTATTTAATCTATGTCTGCATAGTGAAAACATTCCAAGTAAATGGAAGAATTCGGTTACAATCCTCCTCCACAAAAAAGGGGATAAATCAGATCTAGGAAACTATAGGCCAATTAGTTTGCTTAACCACCTATACAAGCTCTTTATTCGAATACTGACAAACAGATTAGAAGCAAAACTCGATTTTTATCATTCAGAAGAACAGGCAGGATTTCTAGCGGGACAAGGAACAAACGACCTGGCAATGCCTTAAAACTCTAGTTGAAAAGTCTATCGAATATAATAGACCCTTGCTCTTATCTTTGTCGACTTCCACAAAGCATTTGACACAGTCGAAACAGTTGCTATCTTAAAATCACTATCAAAATGCAGAATATATCACAGGTATGCAAATATTATTCAAAATATATACGAAAATGCGACAACAACCGTTAACCTCCATTGCATGACTGAGAAGATAAAAATTGGATTATTTATAACAGTTATGGAGTACACATGATAAAAAGATTTAAACAGATGAAAAGATATAACAAATGAAAAGATTAACAATTGATATATTGGGAATTAGTGAAACACACTGGCAAAACTCTGGACAATGCGATATACTTGGATATAAAGTTTACTATGCTGGAGACAACACAAAACGTCACAGAAACGGCACTGCAATAGTAGTTGCCCCAAATATTAATTCGACAGTAAAATCTTTTACTCCCCATTCAGATAGAATGATGCTTTTACAAATTCGAGCAACACCAGTGGATATTAACATATTACAGGTATACGCGCCAACGGCAGATAAAGATGAGGCAACCAGCGAAGAATTCTACGAACAACTGGGAAACCTGATAAAAATGACAAAAAAACATGAAGTAACAATAGTGATGGGAGATTTTAATGCAAAGGTTGGCAGAGGCAAGGTAAATGAGATCGTGGGAAACTTCGGCCTAGGGGAGAGAAACGATAGAGGTGATAGACTTATATGCTTCTGCCAGGAATATAACCTGCTGTTAAGTAATACACTCTTCAAGCTCCCCAAACGTCGACTTTACACATGGAAATCCCCCGCTGACTCACCTGACAACATCATTAGAAATCAGATAGATTATATAGCAGTACCAACAAGATATAAAAACATGATAAAATCATCAAAAACGTACCCAGGTGCCGATGTTCCTACGGACCACAATTTGTTGGTATGCAGAATGGTCATGAGAGTAAAACGGCTCGAGAAAAGATCTAATTTAAACACAATCGGTATTAAAAAACTTACTAACCCAGAAACCGAAATAAAAGTGCGAGAACAACTAGGAAAGAAAATAAAGGACATTAACGAGAACACGTCGGACATAATAGAGAAATGGGATAAATCGAGGGAAGCAATCCAAACAACATGTGCGACTCTATTAAAGCATGACCGACGGAAAAAGAAAGAATGGATGTCTGAAGAGATATTGGATATGATGGATGAAAGACGTAAATTCAAGAATAAAAATGCAGAAAAATACAGCAGATGCACAAAACCATAAGAACGAAAATTCGAGAAGCCAAAGAAAAATGGTTTTCCAACGAATGCAGGGAAATAGAACAATATGAACGAAAATACGACAGTTACAATATGCACAAAAAAAATCGATGACAAACAAGAGGAAATTCAATAAGTCACCCAACAGCATAAAAGATAGCGATGGAAATCTTATCTCGGAGCCATCAACGATCTTAAAAACATGGAAATCATACATAGAAAAATTATTTGCATCTGACAGGACTGATGATCACCTATATGGAGAAGGAGAAACAGGACCTTCAATCCTTAAATCGGAGATAGAAGATGCCATTGCAGCACTAAAAAACAATAAGTCAGCATGTCCGGACAATGTACCCTACGAAATATTAAAGATCCTATGTAAATCAGACAAACAGTTCCTTGATAATCTAGTTGTACTTTTTAACAACATATATAATAGCGGTAAAATCCCGGAGAACTGGCTACAGTCAACATTTATTACAATCCCGAAGACACCAAATGCCCAGATTTGTGATGACTACCGGCTTATAAGCTTGATCAATCATGTCACTAAAGCGTTCACTAAGATCATTCATAGAAGAATATATGATAAATGTGAGTCAAATATTGATAGATCGCAGTTTGGTTTTCGGAAAGCACTTGGAACTAGAGAAGCAATTTTCGCTCTCCAGGTGCTTATACAGCGGTGTAGAGACGTTGATAAGGACGTGTATTTGTGCTTTGTAGATTTTAGAAAAGCATTTGACAATGTCAATCATGAACAATTAATAGGTATTCTGCGAAAGACAGGTATTGACGACAAGGACATTCGAATTGTGGCAAACCTATACTGGGGTCAAACAGCAAGAGCAAAAATTGGCAACGAACTCACTGAAGAGTGTGCAGATCAAAAGAGGTGTCCGTCAGGGGTGTATATTATCCCCAGTTCTATTCAATATGTATTCCGAGGAAATATTTAACAAATGTATGGAAAATGCAAATGAGGGCATAAAAATAAACGGCGAGTTAACGAACAATATAAGATATGCCGACGACACAGTGATCCTTGCCAGTACCATAGACGAATTACAACAAGTAATGGAAAGACTTTATTCATTTAGTGAGGAATACGGCCTGAGCCTCAACTTCAAGAAGACAAAGTGGATGCTGATAAGCAAAAAGCAACAACCTGCTCAACAATTACGGATAAGTAACATACTAATTGACCATGTAGAATCTTATGTGTACCTTGACACCAACGTAAATGCAAAATGGGAACAGACCAAAGAAATTAAGGCAAGAATAGAACGAGCTAGAGCAGCATTTAGCAATATGAAAAAGCTCCTCATAAGCAAGGATTTGTCTCTTCCCCTAAAACAACATATAGTTAAATGCTACATTTTTCCGATCTTGCTGTATGGCGTGGAGGCCTGGACGCTGACAGAGACGCTAACGAGAAAACTATAAGCATTCGAAATGTGGGTGTACCGACGCATTCTTCGTATATCCTGGACTGAACATGTCACCAACATAGAAGTACTCCAAAGAATCGGAAAGGAGAAAGAAATCGTGAATACAATTAAACAAAGAAAGCTTGAATATCTAGGCCACATATTGAGACATGATAAGTACCGTCTGCTACAATTGATTGTCCAGGGAAAAATAGACAGTAAGCGAGGGCCAGGCAGGAGAAGACACTCGTGGCTCCAAAATCTGCGGAAGTGGTTCGGGCTCACATCGGTCGAACTATTCAGAAGCGCCGCAAACAAGATCAAAATTGCCATGTTAATAGCCAACGTTCGCAACGGACAGGGCACTTGAAGAAGAAGATGGAGTACACATTTAAACGGCTAGAGTGGGAATCAAAGGGTATTAGCATCGATAGAAAGATATTCAATCATCTCAGATATGCCGATGATATTGATCTCATAACAGACAACTTAGGAGAAGCCAGAGTTATGCTACAACAACTACAACAAGTAACCCAGAAAGTCGGTTTAAAAATAAACTATGAAAAAACAAAAATGATGACCAATCTCGTCCCCAATGGCTAAAAGAAATCGAAAAGTCGCCCATAGAACTTGTAGAAAAATATGTGTATTTGGGTCACAAAATAAGGTTAACGCGAGATAACCAAACATGCGAGCTACTCAGAAGAATAAATCTGGGTTGGGCGGCATCCGGAAAATTAAGAGACGTATTTAAAAAAAATATACCCATCCTTTTAAAAAGAAAAGCTTCTAACCAGTGCGTTCTACCAGTCCTCACATACGGAGCAGAAACCTTAACTCTCACAAAAACATCAGCTGAAAAATTGAGAAGGACATAACGAAAGATGGAAAGATTAATGCTTGGAATAAGCTTAAGAAATAGAAGAAGAAACGAGGAAGTTCGTAGACGAACCGGAGTGGAAGACATTATCGAATATATTACAAGGCAAAAATGGTGATGGGCAGGACATGTTGCAAGAATGAAAGACGACAGTTGAACAAAAAAATTGCTTGAGTGGAGACCACGGGCTGACAAGCGAAGTCGAGAAAGACCCCCAACGCGATGGACCGACGACCTCAAAAGAATCGTGACCAATTGAATAGCAGAGGCGCAGAAGAGAAGTAGATGGAAAAGTCTAGAGGAGGCCTATGTTCAACAATGGACAACTCAGGGCTGATTGATGAATGATGATGACGTTTGCCGATGTGGAGATTAGCTACACGTGATTTGAAGATTCCCAGTGATATTTGGAAATAACTTGTGAATAACGCAGTTAGAAATTATTGTAGAAAGTATGATCAAATATATAGGCTTAATAAGAAATAACTTTATTCACGATCGGGATTCTAGATACACACATTGATATATTACAAGTGCAGACACTAATTGGACTCATTTATTACGCAGCATATATGAAGGGTAAACGTGTAAATCCAGATGAGTTATGAAAAACTGATGGATCAAGTATAGAAATGTTTCACCTTACTATGTCGCTCTCACGATTTGAATTTCTCCTTCGCTGTATTCGATTCGTTGACAAAGAAACTCGTGAAAATAGACAAAAAGAAGATAAGTTGGCTCCTATACGATGTTTTTTTCGACACCTTTGTAACTCAGTGTAGAAATGGATACAGTTTCTCCGAATATGTCACCATCGATGAGATGTTACCCGGATTTAGGGGTAAGGGTCGATTTCGTCAGTATATGACATCAAAACCAAACAAGTACGGCATAAAAATTTTTGCACTCTCTGATGCTACAATGTTTTATACCGCTAATTTAGAGGTATATGTTGGCCAACAACCCAAAGGTCGTTTTCAAGTTAGTAACAGACCTACTGATGTTTAACGGCTATGTAAACCTATTTATAATTCATACCGAAACTTAACAGAAGAAAATTAAAGTAGTGGGAACCAATAGGAAGAATAAAAGAGAATTGCAGTTTAAATTCACAAAACCAAAGGATCCTGTAAATTCAAGTATGTTTGGTTTTAATTAACATATTACACTAGTTTCTCGGTATTTAGTCGATCGGATAGCCAAGCGGGCTGGACGGCTGGCTTCTCCTTCGCTTCAATGCGAAAGATGTCAGTTCAATTCCCAGCTCGGTAAAAAGGCTAACGCAACAGTTTAAAATTCTAAATGAATCTGCGGCTTAGTCTAGAATATGCTGGTATCTGATCGGCCTATGGTGGAGCAGTACGGCAAGAGATAAGGGCTTGTGGTTCGGTGATACTTCTCCATAGATCCATAGATATATATATATATATATATATATATATATATATATATATATATATATATATATATATATATATATGAAACTTAGAGCTAAGATTAATATTATTACTAAAATTAATATCAAACTCACCAGTCTTCCGGGTTGAGCCGCGTTGATATCCATTTTGCCGAGCTTTCGGCATCCTTTCTGATGCCTTCCTCAGGGCTTCCGAAGTCTGATTCTCCCGTCTTATGCTCCCGAGCCCCCAGACACTACTACAATGTTCACTGATCACTGCGCTGTCACTACTACTGTCAGTAGTTTGTATTTTTTTTTATAAGATATGTTTTTTATGTTTTGATGTTCTATAATTATTTCCATAGTTACAACTAGTGGTTGTAATAGGTATAATTACGTAATATTATTATGTAATAGGTGTAATTAGGTATAATTAGAAATCTATATTCGAACTCATATGTAATCACTTATATGCATTCGGATATATAATATAAATTTAGTACAATCAAGTTTTTAATTGATAAACATAACATAAATCATTTAAGAATCTGTGGCAAAAGGACTAGTTTCCATGCCAAACACACTATCATCATCATCATCATAATAGGTATAATTAGGCACCTTACGTGGCGCCCTATATTAAATTCCTTGAGGTGTTTCCTGTTTATTTTTATCTTGTTTATCTCAAGAGATTAAGTACCCCTATATTTTTTTTTGTAGTTGCCCCAATCCAACCCCTACATCTTTAACATCTTCAACTTATTCACGACCCAGCTGTCCAACAACCAACTGAGTGCCGTACGCACTAGTTTCGATTTATTTTGTTTGCCCAATCTTCTATCCCATGTTTTTACCCTGAAACAAGCAAAATAGTCGTTACAATATTACGAATAGTTTGCTTAAAAGTTCATTATGATTGCCCATTATTATAACTATCGAGATTTAAGCTATATAACTCTGTTTCCCTAAGCTACCCTAAGCTTTTTCTGATAACATTTAATTTTAAAATTTAGCTCCAGATATCCTTTTCTGTGTGCTGGAATACATTATGTTTTATCATTAGTATCAATATCATAAATATTATAGTATCATTTTTATTTAGTCACCAAAATATTTGCAATTATTAATATTGTTGGTGCCTTTTCGCCTCGCATAAATCCTAGGTATAAAAATTTGTTAAGGCCGATATTAAATTATATTCAAATCTTATTCGTTGATTTCAACTAATTGCAGTATACTTATAAAGGCTAGGATTAGAGATGTACGTAGAAACTGAATGATACCTAGATATTTATTACACATATATCTATCAATAAGTTTCAGAGAGTATTATAGAATTATTATCAGTTATAAATTTTAAAGTTATAAACTTAACACCAATAAACAAAAATATCTAACATTATTGTGTGTGGAATTATTGAATGAACTAGATCATGTAACTGTGATAAAAATAATAACATTATACCTATTAAATTTTTAATAGTATCAATCAAAAATCACTATAAATTGTAATGTGTGGACCAAAGATTTGTTAAAATTTATTATAGGTAAGTAAATATGAAATATTATAATTTATTAATTAATTATTATTCTGTTGTAGTAGTAAGTTGTGGTAGTAAGAATAATAATGATTTTAGTATTAGAAAAAGCACTAATAGTAAGAATGCAAGCATAATGACAGGTTAATGAAAATAAATAAAGATTCAAGATATATTTAACTACGTTTAAAATTTTACATTTGTTTGTAGCAAGTCAATTATATGACATATACATTGAAAAAGTAAAAAATATAATATACAACATACACAAAATACAATAGATGAAAATAGATTAATGCACATAACATAGAATAAAACATAAAATATACAAAATATATAGAAGACATATACCAACATAGTGAGTACATTAATGTTCATGTTATTGTGATCAAAATATTTACTAACAGAGTAAAAAGCAAATCTCAAAAGGTATCTTTTAAGACTAACTTTAAATTTGGTCATAAAAAGTTGTTTTAAATCTTTGGGTATATATTATAGTCAATTGAGTTTTTCTGTTATTTACTCAAACGATATTTAACTGGTCTGATGTTATTTGCACCTCTTGTGCTATAGTTATGTAATTCAGAGTATCGAATTAAAGTATTAGCGTTTTTATGTATTTCAACATTAACACTGTATATCCATAATGTTGGCAAGGGCATTATCTTATATTTAATAAATAACGGTTTGCAAGATTCCAAGTAGCTAACTTGCAACTGCAATTATTCTTATTGCTTTTTTTTGCAATTTAAATATTGTTAGGGCATTGTAAGAGTTTCCCCACAGAATAACATTATAGCTTAAAAATAAATGAAAAAGAGAAAACAAAAAATTTAACATTGTTAATGATATTATTTATAAACACAACACAATGCATGTTTCTTCTTTGCTCTAATGACTGCAAGCCAAATATTTGAAGCAACTCTTTTGATGGCGTAAGGTGAGTACACAAATTGTATTTCTTAAAGTGTAAATACCTTAGAAATCTTTTTTGTACCTTTTCTATATGATTAATATGAACTTTGGGTTGAAGAGTCCATACCACTTATGCATATTCCAAGTTTCGTCTGACTAAAGCGTTATATAGTCTAATGGTTGTGTTTATACTAAAGTGTTTGGAATTTATTAAAAATCCCAATATTTTGTAGGCGTTATTAACGCGTTAATTTCATGTTAGCCTGTAGGTATATTCCCAGATCTTTACATTTGGTTTTCCTAGATACTACACAATTGTCAATTCTATAATTATTTTGAATGTAGTCGATTTTGCGAGTAAAAGATATGACTCTACACTTCTTAATATTAAAGATCATATTGTTGTCCCTAAACCATTCCACAACTGAGGTCAGGTCCTCCTGTAGTAACTGACAATCATTTGTAGTATGTATAGTCTTAAAAAGCTTAAAATCATCAGCATAGATCAAACTAGAACAAAATTTAAGAGATTGTGGTAGTGAGTTGACAAAAATTAAGAAAAACAAAGGCCCTAATTTGCTCCCTTGATGGACACCAGATGTAGCCTGAAATTTATCTGATAAATACCTACCAATTTGACTCGTTGAAACCTTGATTCCACATACGATTTTATAAATGTACAAGCATCATGCGAAAAACCAAACTCATTCAATCTCGATAAAAGAATGCCATGGTCAACCATATCAAATGCCTTTGAGCAGTCAGTAATTATTAAATCTAATTGGAGTTTATTATTTATTGCCTCACTAGCAAAATTTGACAGAATGCACAGATTACTAATTGTGGATAACCCAGGCAAAAAACCATGTTGTTCTGGAGCAAATTCATTTTCAAAATTTTTCAGTAGATATTTTCAGTCTTGTATCAAAATAGGTATATAGTTTAATATCTATTTATTTTCAATAAAATTCTATAATAAATTAAAAACTAACCTAACCCAATATTCCATTGTATCTAATATTTAGCAAAGATTGAATTATCTATTATTTGAGCGGCGTTATCATGTTATGTAAATATACTTTACTTCTTACACTTGCTGTAAATAAATGATTTTATAAAAATACCTTCTCGATTTTTAATTGTATTGGTTGCGTTGTTCTTTTGACAAATAACAAATAGGATTTATTCAATGACGTCTATAACAGAAATAATTTAATTATTCCTATGTACAAGGTCTGACTATTAAATAAAGAGACTGCGCGCTCAGACGGTGCGCGGTTTTCGAATCTTATAAACGGTTTTCTGAAGACCGAGAGAGCGCTGAAGATGACCAACGTCAAGGTCGACCTGTCTCTGCTTTAAGCTCGAAAACAGTAACCAAAATAATTGCTGAATCTGTAAATGCCGATAAAGAAACTGTCAAAAAAATGTACATGACGAATTAAACATGAAGAAAGTCTGTGCGAAGTTGGTCCCAAAAATTTAACTCCTGACCAAAAGCTCGTCCGTCAACAGATCTGCTCCGATTTTCTTGAGAGGTTACATGAAGAGCCTGAATTAATGGAAAACATCGTCACTTGCGATGAAACCTGGATATTCAAATACGATGTTGAAACTAAGCGACAATAAATGCACTGGAAAACTCCTGCATCGCCAAGAATGAAAAAAGCAAGGATGTCGAAATCAAAATTTAAAGCCATGCGAATCGTTTTCTTTGATATTAACGGCATAGTAATGACTAAAAGGGTCCCAGAGAGTCAAACTGTAAACCAAACTTACTATTTGAAACTTTTGGCAACGTTGCGAGAGCGAGTTCGTAAGAAATGGCCGGAGTTGTGGAAAAACAAGCCGTGGATTTTGCAACAGGACAACAGCCCATAACGCGTTGTTTGTGAAGCGTTATTTAGCCGCTAGAGGCATTCCAGTGCTCGAACACTCGCCGTACTGGCCTGATTTAGCACCCTGTTACTTTTTCCTGTTTCCGAATATCAAGTCTACCTTAAAAAGGAATCCGGTACAAGTCAATGGAAGAGGTGAAACTAAAAACGGCGAAGTTCCTGAAAGCTCTAACAAAAGAAGACTTCCAGCATTGCTTTGACGGAATCTGCTTAGGGTGCCTGTCCGTTCCGAACGTGCCTGTCCGTTCCGAACGTTGGTGATCATTCTGGCTATGATGATTTTGTTGGTTGCTATACGAAATAGCTGTGTTGAGATCTTTCTATACTATGCTCTCAGGTTAGCAAGCCAGGATAATCTTTTTCGTCCTGGGGCTATTTTTCCTTCAATGTTACCCTGCAAAATGCATTGGAGTAGCTTGTATCTGCCTTGATTTATTATAATACGTCCCAAGTACTTCAGCTTACGGCTCTTCACAATGTTGACCACATCCGCGGTTGTGTTCATCCTCCGCAGTACTTATTCATTGGTGACTTTGTCTGTCCATGGTATCTTCAGGATTCTTCTGTATAACCATAATTCAAACGCCTGAAGTTTTATAAAGTTTCCGCCTTCAATTTCCTCGTTTCTACTCCATACAGAAGCACTGAGTATACGTAACATTTAAGGAGCCTTATTTTTGTTTTCAGGGTGAGGTCATGGCTTTTGAACACAGAGCTCATAGCGAAGAATGCACTTTTGGCCTTTTCGATGCGACATTATCTCTTGGGTATTGTCCCACGACTCATTGATTATAGTTTCCAAGTAACTGTATTGTGAAACACGTTCAATTTGACGGAATGGAAAAAACAAATGGAACGGTGTGTGGCAAGGGAAGAGGAATATATTGAAGGAGAGCGTTCGATTGTAGAATAATTTTTAAAATAATAGTACATTGAAATCGTAGGCTTCCACGGCCAGAGTCAGAATTATAGTTTATTCGTCTTCCGGGTTTGGACCGTGTCATTTGTGAGTGACCCAAAAGTGGGTTCATCTCGACGTTTCGCTACAATTATATGTAGCTTCTTCAGGAGAAACAAAGAAAAAGAAAAAAGAAAACAAAAGAACAGGAAGATGGGTAGTTAGCAACGGTAACTCAGTTACTCAACGCAACCAGAGGCGAATACTAACTACCAAGATGGGCATTTGGTCACAGTAACTCAACTACTCAACGCAGCCAGAGGTGAAAACCAAATGCCAGGACAGGGATTCACGTCCAACAGCTCAGAACACTAACGCGTCGAGAGGCGGGGAGTGAATCCGACGATTACTCCGCTACCGCTCTATTTATAGTCGCGGTGCCTGTCGTGTCGGGACGTATCGGCACACTTCGTGGCGCGAACGTCAAGAAGCGCGCGCTGGCCAATCATGTGGTGGCGGGACCGGATGGTGGCTCTAGACTGAGATTCCAGATGGGAGACAAGTAGTATATATATAAGTAGTTAAGACCTATACTGGTCGTACCTCTTCTTATGTCCGAAATTCCACACATTTCATCACCTTAATCTCCTCTCTCACAGTCGATCCCCAAGATATTCTCGTCAGTTTCGATGTATCATCCCTATTTACCAATATTCCCATACATGACTCTCTAGTTGTTCTGCGAGATCACTTGACCAATGATAACAAGTCTTTGGTTTTGGCAGATCTTGCCGAAAAATGCCTCCTTTCAACATATTTTTCTTTTAGAGGCAATTTCTACAAACAAATATCTGGAACACCAATGGGTTCTCCCCTTTCCCTGTCATTGCTGACATTTTCATGGAAGCCTTTGAGTCTTTAGCCCTAGAATCTTACCCTTTAAAACCAAAAGTCTGGTTCCGCTACGTTGATGATACATTTATCATCTGGCCCCATGGTCAGCATACCCTTTCTTCCTTCCTAGATCATCTTAACTCACAACATCCGAGTATAAAATTCACAATGGAAGTAGAAAATAATCGGTCCCTTCCCTTTCTCGATGTGTTAGTCACCTCCAAGCCCAATGGCCGATTGGGTCACTCTGTTTATAGAAAAAAGACTCACACGAATCGTTACCTACATGCTTCATCACACCACCATCCTGCCCAAAAGAATTCTGTGATCAACTCTCTCATCCATTGGGCCATTTCGATTTCTGAACCCGACAACCTTAGAGAAGAACTTGGCCATCTGCAAAAAACCCTTGTCGCCAATGGTTACTCCAAGTCCACAATTCAAAATATTACACACCGACATCTACATCCCCCTTTACACCCTAGGACAACAAATTCAGAATCTTCGGGTAATACTCCTGTGGCTTTTCTTCCGTATATTCGAAATGTCACTGATAGGATTGGCAAAATTCTTCGCAAAGAAGGTATCAGGACTACTTTTCGACCACCCAAGAAAATCTCACAATATCTACCCTCTCCTAAGGACCCATTACCGCCCCTATCTTCCTGTGGTGTCTATTCTATTCCTTGTTCATGTGGACATGTGTATATTGGCGAAACTGGTCGTTCCGTCAAAACTCGGATTCAAGAGCATCAAAGATGCATTCGATCAGGTCTTTTCTCCCATTCTGCAGTTGCCGAACACTGCCAAGAAACCGGTCATTCCATATTGTTCGAAAAAAACCCATATTATTTCTAAGAGCCCCTTCTTTTATTCCAGGAAAATCCGCGAATCTCTAGAGATCCGAAAAAATCCCCATAATATCAATCGAGAGGAAGGATACTACTTGTCTCCCATCTGGAATCTCAGTCTAGAGCCACCATCCGGTCCGCCACCACATGATTGGCCAGCGCGCGCTTCTTGACGTTCGCGCCACGAAGTGTGCCGATACGTCCGACACGACAGGCACCGCGACTATAAATAGAGCGGTAGCGGAGTAATCGTCGGATTCACTCCCCGCCTCTCGACGCGTTAGTGTTCTGAGCTGTTGGACGTGAATCCCTGTCCTGGCATTTGGTTTTCACCTCTGGCTGCGTTGAGTAGTTGAGTTACTGTGACCAAATGCCCATCTTGGTAGTTAGTATTCGCCTCTGGTTGCGTTGAGTAACTGAGTTACCGTTGCTAACTACCCATCTTCCTGTTCTTTTGTTTTCTTTTTTCTTTTTCTTTGTTTCTCCTGAAGAAGCTACATATAATTGTAGCGAAACGTCGAGATGAACCCACTTTTGGGTCACTCACAAATGACACGGTCCAAACCCGGAAGACGAATAAACTATAATAGTACATTGTTTACCGGGTAGGAAAAGCTTAACATTCCTGGACGACTGTGAAGATTGCTAAGTCCAGGCGCAAGCCGAGACTTAGCAACACAGAGTCCAGGAATGTGGCTTTTCCTACGAGGTAAACATACTATTTTTCCGCAAATCGTTTAAAATTCGACAGATATTGATTGATTTAAAAAAAACGCGATAATTTTATTCCCAAATAAATGGTGCTTTGAAATTCCTAATAAAATTACTTGGGTTACTATGGAAACGTATTGAGGTTGAATTGTCAAACTTGACGCTTATAAATTTAATTGCTGGTGTTCTCGAAAGTAACTTGATAAGTGATGATAAAATTTCCATTCCTGGGACTCCTCCAGAGCTGGTTGAGGCAGTGAATACGGCTTCATTAGAATTATTGCCAAAGAAATCAAGAGAAAAGTACGAAAATGCATACAAACGTTTTATGGATTATCGCATGAGTAAAAATACGAGTTCTTTCTCAGAAAATGTTGTAAATGGCATACTTCCTAGACATTTGTTTAAAGATGAAATCTTCAACATTATGGGCCAATTATTCAATGCTGAAGTCAACCCTTGCACTTAAACACAATGTAGATATATCTACATACTCAAAACTTCGTTCTTTATTGAAACGGCAAGCTCAAGGTTATAGGGCAAAGAAATCTAAGATTTTAACGAAGGAAGAAATTGAAAAATTTATCCAGGAAGCTCCAGATAAAGAAAATTTAATGATTAAGGTAATTTACAAGGTTTTAATTTCTATTTAGATTATAGCTTTATTTATTTTTTAGGTGGCTGTAATATTTGGTATTTCTGGGGCTGTAGAATGGATGAGTTAGTCCGAATGACTGTACACGATATAGAAGACTTAGAATCTAAGCTTTTAATCAGCATACCTGATTTGAAAACCAACAAACCAAGATCATTTGTAATTAATCAGATCTACTTGAATGTTTATCGAAAGTATGTTTCGTTAAGACCAGAAAATATGAACAGTGACCGATTTTTCTTTAAATATCAAAGCGGAAAGGGTTGTAGACAAGTGGTAGAAATTCATCAATTTAGAAAAATGCCCAAAATAATTGCTACTTATTTGAACTTGGTAAATCCGACAGAATATACTGGTCCATGCTTTCGTCGGTCTTCTGCAACAATATTGGTTGACTCTGGTGCCGACATAACTAGTTTAAAGAGGCATGGCGGATGGAAGTCATCAAACGTTGCTGAAGGATATATCGAAGAATCGCTTAACAATAAGGTTGAGGTGGCAAATAAAATTTTCACAGTACAAAATATTCAACAAAATGACACTTCCACCCTGCATGTTGTCCAAAATGTTTCTCATAGTTCTAAGAGTGTTCCTCCAATGTTCAATAATTGTACTAACTGTCAAATTACTGTAAATATAACAAATTGATCTTAAAAATGTATTCAGCAATGACTTGATGTTTTCAAATATAAATTAATTCCTTATAAGCAATGTATTTTCTATCATTTATCTAGAACACTAAACAACTGTACGGAAATATCATTTCCTTACAGTAAGAAAGTCCTGACTTTTTCTTCAAGAAATTTTGACAGGAATGTCAAAATTTCCTGGCGATTTGCGGAAAAAACTCTTTTTCCTCAGCAGTATCGTTATTTAATAGCCAGACCTCGTATATGCTAAAGATAGAAATGGAAAATTCTCAGGGTTGGCTGTATACCAGCCAACTCGCTGTTACTAAGTAGTAATAATGTAATTTTAAAATTTATAATCCTTTTGGATATTTTTATAATTTTATACAAATAAATATTATAAATTAAAATAGATATTTCACATTATTCTGTTATTTTTAGAACAAACTTGTCCATAGCAAGTAGTAAAATGATGGAACTAGATAGGAAAAATAGTATAGATACTAGAAAAAAGCTTGAAAATGGTTTGCTTCTGCCGAATAAATATCCATCAGTAACAGTTAAGGTTTCTCAAAAAGAAGGGAGTACAAATACGGACACATTTTATTTGCGTTTTACTGTACTAACAGGTAAGAATTTACACAATCAATATTTTGGAAATTTTGAAAATTTTGGTCTAATTCAAAGTATTTCAATTTTTTTATTTTTAGCCCAATTTTGATAATTTTTTTAGCACACTGTGTATAAATTTATAAATTTTAATTTGGTATAGTCAGTTTTTTATTAAAATTCTAGCACGGAGAGTGAACATTTTGTGTGAAGCAGAGAGTGAATAGTATTTATTGTAAAAAACACAGAGGTTAAAACACTTCACAATTTTGTGTATTTTGGTATAAAAACATACAAGTACTTAAAAACTTTTTAAAAGTGTCGTCAACATTTAAAATTATGGCAGAACGTTTTCAATCTATACAGATCATCTTCAGTGCCTTTTGTATTTGGTGCTAACAATAAGGTGTCTATAAGACTTCCATGTGTGGATTTACAAAATATCACATTTTACATTTAATAATGTTTAAAATTAAAATTTACTTTAGGGACTACATGTCTCTTAAGCTCGAATACTTGCACGTAGTACTTGTCAGTTGAAACGACGACACAGATCAAATGCTTTTAAATGTTGACGACACTTTTAAAAAGTTTTTAAGTACTTGTATGTTTTTATACCAAAATACACAATTGTGAAGTGTTTTAACTCCTGTGTTTTTTCAACGATGGTATACAGCCAATTACGGGGTTTTTCCCATTAATTTAGTATTTATTGCGTTTTTGATGGTTTTACAAATACTATCCATTTATTGCATCATTTGACTATTATGTCGAGTTAAGCTTACGCTTTCTCGAAAACAGAGCATTCTCTACGGTTGGCCCTAGGTGGACCTGGGAAGAGCTAAGCCGTATCCTTAGCAGGATACTTTCAGACAAGATATGGAGGAGTGGGACGTCGCTTTTATAGACTATATAGAGAATTGGCGCGATTATTGAGCCCTCTAGAAGTACCGCAAGAGGAGTGAATGAGATGGATAGTTGGTCGTTGACTTTGACCACTACAGTCCAAGCCATTGAACTTATATAAGATTGAATTATTCTCAAAAAAGGAATAGTCACCAAGGCTAGGTGAAGTTTTTCGATCAGTCAGGCATGCTAGACCTAATTGAGAGCTTTTTGAACATCAAGAAAGATGCCAACAGCTAATCTACGAAGTGACCAGCTCTGAATCCAAATTGGAAGTTTGGGATGATGTGATATGTTTTCAGATTATTTACGAGTCTTTTCTTTATGATACTCTCGTAAATCTTGTCTAGACTGTTAAGAAGTGATATTGGTTTGTAGGATTCAGGATTGTTGAGTGGCTTTCCTGGTTCGGAATCATGATTATGCTGGGTATTTTCCATGGAGTAGGAAAGTATTCTGGCTAAAGACAGGCATTGGTGGTTTCGGCTAGCAGAGGGTATATGGCAAGTTATTTGAGGCATCTTCTGTGTACGTAATTTAAGCCAGGGCTGTGTTTTTGCTTTAAAGTCTAAATTTTTATAGAGAAGAGTCTATGTTATTCTCGGTTACTATACGAAAATTGTCTGAAGTAGAGGATTTCAGGCAATGACGATTGTGGCTTGGAATAAATCTTTGAAAATGTTAGCCTTTTTTAGGGCTTTCTAATTATTTGATTGTTTTGTTTGAGATAAGAATGATTTTTTGTTTCGCTTGAATGTTTTCCTAGACTTTTCCTCCATCTTCATAGTTTAGTCTGGTGGTCACCTGTGTCCACTGTTGTAGTTTTAAATGGTTAACCTCAAGTCTATTTGTAGCCAAGTGTCGGTTATATTCTGTTTAAATAAGAGGGTCTCGAAATCTTCTGTACTCACTTAGAAGTAGGAGCTTTGTCTGGATTTCAGAAAGGATTCTTTGTGGTAACATTAGAATATTTATTATATTTCTTTAACGGAATTGTTAGGTTTAAAGGTTCTTACAGAAAACTAACTTAATTTTTGAGATGCCTATTCCAACTTGGTTTGTTGACCAGAGATTAGCTAACTTAGGAAGTTTATGAGTGATGAAATTTTGGAATAGTTCAGAATTGATCTTTCTGTGTTCTTTTCTGTACATGAATAGTGTGTTTTGTCTAGGAGTGTATAAGTCTGTTTTGACCAGAAGTGGGAGCTGGTGTGACATTAATGAGTCATCTATGACCCATTTATCATCGAATCTGTCCATTACGCTTTCAGTGCATGGGATGTGATCATTGCTAGACATACCATTGTGGCCAAATTGTTCTTCAGTATTGGTGATTAGGTCAATAAGCAGATGTAGAAAGAGATCTTAAAGATGTCTGCCGCTTGGATTAAAATTGACTGTGTCTTGTAATAAAGTCACCCATTAGAGTTGTTGAGTGCTGGAAAGTACTTAATCAGGGATTCAGAAAGAGAGTCATTAGATGTCTGTAGTAAAAGATTACAGTTGTGGTGATATTTTTTTGGAGTAGGTAGCGAGAAAATACATATTTGGATGATTTAGGATTTGTGAAGGAATAATGTAAGGTGTCGTAGGGATATCTTTGTGAATTAAGATGCCAATACCGTAAGTGATTTGACTTTTTGGATTATGATACGTTGTGTATTCGGGGAAGTTAAGTAAAGTTTTTGATTTGTTATTAATAAGGGCGAGTATTAGTACATCGTATTTTTGTAGTAGGTTTTTAATTATATATCGTTTACAGTCCTATTCAGAAATGTAAGATTAAGGTCATTTGGACCTAATTGTCTCTATCGGCATACGGGATAGTGTGAGCGAAAACTAAAAATATTAAGTCTGAGGAAAATTTGCAGCTAAGCGATCGAGGAGGACGTTGCAGCCAGCAGTACAGTAGCAAACTGTATCATGTCCTTTATGTCCTCTAAAAGTACTTTAGGTGAAATCTTTTTACCATGTTAAATGGATTTGGCCTGTTAGATATTAGCTCGAGGTTCTTGTCTTTTCGGACATTTTATTGACTATGCCGGAGGCTCACCTTTCCTGTTGGGACATTTTGGGTTTTCTAATAGTGGCTTATAGAAAAGAAAAGAACATAGTACAAGGCGTTACTGTCATAAACATGATTTCCGTAGGAAGTGATCACAGAATTGTTAGAGCCAAAATCAAAATTAATGCCACAACAGACAGACAAAAATTTAAACCACCTAAAAAAGAGATAGATACAGAACTTCTTAAAGAACGAACGAACAATACATAAACCAGCTAAAAATAAGTGACATATCAGAGCTAAAGGGTTTATAACTAGACGAATTAAACGATAAAATAACAAGAGAACTACTAGAAGAAGGCCTAAAGATTGCTAATAAACAAAAGCGAAAACAACAAAAAATTAGCGCTAAATCACAAGATATGCTAAAAAAACGACAACTCCTGAATAATAACAAAAGAAATACAGTGGAGTTTACTGAACTGAACAAAACCATAAGAAAACAGATAAAGGAAGATTTAAAGAAATACCAAGAAAATCGCATTAAGAAAATTATAGAGAAGAACAAAAGTTTAAAAACAATAAGGACAAATATAGAAAAAAGAAAACTAATCATGCTTAAAGCCGAGAACAATGAAGAAAGAGATCTAGAAGAAATAGTAAAAATCACAGAAAGATATTACACAGACCTATACAGTTCTAAAAATGACCCACCACTATCATCTAAACAGAATCTCTCGAGGAAAATACAAAATGTTGGCTCAGAGGTATTACCAGAAATAACTGAAGATAAAATCAAAAAATCCATAAACGACATGAAAAGAAATAAAGCGGCCGGTGAGGACAAAATACTAGTGGAACTGCTAAAAGAAGGAGGAGACACTGACTAACCTATAAAATTGATAACTACAAACCAGTGGAACAGGCCGGATTCAGGAAAGGATACAGCACAATCGACCATCTACATGCGCTTAAAATCTTAATTGAGAAAACCAATTAATACAACCATGCGCTGTACTTAGCATTCGTAGATTATGAAAAGGCTTTCGACAGCATTGAACACTGAGCGGTTAAAGAAGTTCTGGTCAATAGTAGAATAGATTTAAAATACCGACAATTGATACATGATATTTACCAAAACGCAACCATGACCATAATTCTGGACGACAAATTAATAACGGATAATATAAAAGTTAAACGAGGAGTCCAACAAGGCGATATAATTTCACCTAAACTGTTTACCTTGACCCTCAAAGACATAATAAAATCAACAGATTGGGAAAACAGAGGAATATGTATTAACGGAAAGTACCTAAACCACCTTAGATATGCCGATGATATACTCCAGTCTCCTCGGAACGACAAGAACTGGAATTAATGCTGAATGAACTTCATGAAAAATCACTGCAAAAAGGCCTAAAAATTAACTTCAACAAAACAAAAGTAATGACAAACATTGAAGACCAAGAGGCAATAAAAATACAAACAGAAAAAAATAGAACAGGTAAATGAGTATATCTATCTAGGATAAGCAATCAGAGCTAACAGAGAAAATCAAACAGCCGAAATACCGAGACGAGTAAGAATGGGATGGGCAGCGTTTAGATAGAGGCAAACAATCCCTCTATACTTACGGAGCAAGGTATATTATAACTCCTGTATAATACCGGTGCTCACCTATGGAGCACAGACATGGACATTTACACAGGCCAATTTGGATAGGATAAGGCACAAAGAGCGATGGAGAGACAAATGTTGGGTATCACTTAAAGATATAAAACGTAACTAGTGGATCAGAACCAGAACAAAGACAGTAGACGCGATAGAACAAGCAGCAAAACTGAAATGGAAATGGGCTGGACACAATGAGCGTCTCCAAGACGGACGATGGAACAATGCCATCGGAAAGTGACGTCCATACAATGCAAAGAGATCAAGAAGTAGACCATAGATGAGGTGGAAAGATGACATCAGGAAACAAAGAGGTCCCACATGGCAGAGAACAGCTCAAGATAGGAAAAGATGGAGAGAACTGGGGGAGACCTATATCCAACAATGGAAGGATAGAGAATAGGTTCAAAAAAATAGTGGCCAGTTCACGTATTTGTAGTGAGAACTAGTGCAATTTGGGCGAAGAGATTATTGGGTTTAACACTCAACAACAACGGCTACAGTGTTTTATTAAGTGAGGAGCCCCACAATGCTTTATCTGGCCGTAGACTTGGATACCGTTAGCCAAAGGTCTTGTGTATTGCTTCGCACTAGAAAGAAAAATAGCATGAGTTTGACCCGTTTGCCATCCTTTCGGCTATGTGACTTGCTGATATGATGTTGGTTTTGTTCGCTGAGATTTTCTGTGAGTTTTTCTACTATGTTTAAAGTTTTTAAGAATAATTTTAATTAAGACGTATCCTGGTGTTTTGTTTTAACCTTTTTGTCATTTCCCCTACATCAACAGTTCTATAGGCTTTAAGAAAATCAAATTGATTGTTGGAAATGGCAGTAAAATTAATTTAGCTTTTAAGTAGATATTGTGTATTTAGAAAGCGTAAAAGAATCCTTTGGCTGTTAAGAGTTGCTGATGTATATACTATTTTATAATCAAGACCTGGATCTTCTGGGGTCTGAAGTTCAAATTTTCGTTAGATGAAGATGCATCCTCGTTGGAAATTTCGGTGGTTGTATTTGAAGTATTATCTATAAAAATATTACTTCAACCGGTATCAATATTTTGTGGATTTTTATTAGTAATTGCATAAACTATTTTGTTTTCGGTACATTTACTATTTGCTGAATTGATGTTTAATGCCGAAAAAGAGGATTTTATGTATTTATTACTTGCAAGAATTGAGCTGAAGTATTGGACAGCTCAAGTTAATTCGGTATTTTTATTATTTGTAATTTTTTACATATTTCTCCTGAAGTATTTACTGATTTTCGTCTTTAAGAATTGGATTTATTTATTTAGCGTATGGCAATTTGATACACAACGTTATCACATATATGTTACAATCTAACATCTAATGTATTAATATATTCAATCGACGCTGGTGTTGCAAAGGCGAAGTCTAGAGGATCTCCATAATACTTCCTCCGAGGGCATTCGGCAATCATATGCTGGATGGTCTGTTTCTCGGCGCCGCAGTCGCACTCAGCAGAGGTTCTCATCCTCCATTTATAAAGGGATTCTGCGCAGACTCCATGACCCGTTCTTATACTGTTAAGAGTTGACCATGATTTTCGGGGGAGGTCAAAACCTGGTGGAGTTTCTGTGATGCATGGTGTGTTTCTCATTATTAGGTTCGGTCTGTCGCTCTGCATGTTCTTCCACTGGGAGTTCATTTGGAAATTGTTTTAACTCAAGTTTATTGCATCTCTAGTCGGAGGTTTTCTGGAGCGCAATCGATGTGAATTAGCGTCGGCGACATATGTGTGTATAGGTAATTGCGGGTTGTTAAGCAGCTTTTGGAATTCTCTAAGCAGAGCATGCTGATGACGAAAATTACGTGGAGGTATATGGCTCAGTAGTGGAAGCCACTCCACAGGTGTAGACTTGATCATTCCTGATATGAGACGCATGGCGACATTGAGCTGGGTATCTATAATTTTTGTGTGAACGCTATTCAGCCAAAAAGCCTGTATGATGTTGTTACACTAGCGTCTAGCCGTTGGCAGGTCAGTATAATCCTGACCAATCCAATCGCACTTGATTTTGTGTGTACCGCGTCATTCAAATTATGTACAGGTTTGAATGTAACAGTTCTCATTTCTCATGTCACGAAACGTTCTTAGATTGTTCACACAAATAAGGAGTTATGTTTAATTGTTTTGAATACACAGAAAATCATAAAAATGTTGTAGACACTTCAACGGAAGATAGCAAAATCAAGAAAGATTCTAAGAAGTGTCCTTTGTATAATTTTTATTCAAGTTATGTTGCAGAATTGCATTCTCATTTTCAAGAAGAACACAACCTTATCCTAGAAAGTGAAACACTTCAATTTTCCAATTTAGTCTCTTTTCAGGAGTGGAAATGTTTTATTGAAAGTAGTACAAAAACCAAATACGTTTAAGTCGAGAACTTTTCCGCAAAGACTCACAAAACAATGAAGTTTCTCTGTCATCGGTCAGGCTGCTTTAATTCTGAAAGCAAAGGAAAAAGGCACTTAAAAATGAAAGGCAGTATAAAAATTGGCGGATTTTGCCCAGTAGTCTCACGGTTGTGGTTGATTTGGCAGAAAAAGTTGAAGTCAATTTTATAAAAACACACATTGGACATCAAACTGATATTGGACAGTTATTTCCAAGTCTATCTGAAGGTCAGTTTATTGCTGATATTTGATTGTGGTAATTATTTTTATTATACAACAACATAACAAATAACAACAACTATGATCTATAATAATAATAAGTGACAAGCAGACAAGCCCTCCCTCACTTGTTGCCAACTCACAATAAGATAGTATTTATAATATGTAAAATAATAAAACTGTGTACTTAAAACAACTAAACACTACTTCTTGTTTGAGTGAACAATCCGAGAACGTTTCGTGATATGAGAACTGTTACATTCAAATATATACATAATTTAAATGACGCGCCACGCACATACTCAAGTGCGATTAGATTGGTCAGGATTATCCTGACCTGCCAACGGTTAGACGCTAGTTGTTGTTACGGGTTCTCAGCTTTGCTGCGGTGTTCTCAAGATTTTTCTTAAAGGAGAGTGTTCTGTCCAGGGTGACGCCGAGGTACTTGGGATTATAGTTGTGCGTGAGCAGTTTGTTATCAATGGAGAGAATTGGAAATGAAGGTAATTAAGTTCAGGTTAAGCGCAAAATTGAAACGATGCAACTTCACGTAAATTTGCTACTTTATCTCAATACACTTCTTAAATTTTTGGGGATATAATTTACAGAACTGTAAAAGCTATTTTTTAAGAATTTTTTACTTTTCTTATTAATCAATCTAAGAGATCTTTCTTTTTTCAGTTAATGTAGAAAATGGTTTCATTATTCTTGTGAGGAAACTAATATTACTTATTAATAATGATGACTGATTTATTAATTAATGCTCTATAAACACAGATTTAATATTGTTTTTCCCTATGTTTGCCTATGTTTCTCTACGTTTCCTTATATTTTTTCCCATTTCTCCCTTGTTATGTTTCGCAAAGTTTCATTCCTATCCGTCTTTGCTAAGAGTTTTTCCAAAGTATATAAATATTACAATTTTAACTATGCAATAGTTTCATAAACTTGATTCTTTTTTAGGAGTAATTGTAATGTTAGAAGGATCTGCGTTATCAGTTTGGACATCTCCAGCAGTCATAAAGCTACAGTCAAACGATAGTAGTGTGAACCCATTGGGAAGATCGATAACTACAGTGGAAATTTCTGCTTTACTAGGAATACCTTCAATAGTTTCTCTTATAAGTGCAGGGTTGTTACCAAAGTTAGCAGACATAATTGGAAGAAAAAAGAGTTTACAAATATTAGGCTTAGGAATATTTTTAAGTACAATAGGATTAGCTTTTTGTCAGTCTGTCAGCTGGATGGTTTTTTTTATTTGCATTTCTGCAAGTTTGACAGCTGCTGGAGCGTCTATTCTTCCCATGTACATTACTGAAGTTTGTGAAGATCATAATAGGGCAACGTACGGTTGCCTAATGACAGCTTCTTCTCCAATGGGTCAGCTCTTATGCTTTCTGATTGGTCCGGCGTTTCACTTTAAGCTGTTTACATTATTAATAGTAACTCCTTTAATTTTCTTTTTGGTATTCTCCGTGTATATTCCAGAGAGTCCCGTTTACTGTTTATCCAAGGGTAAAAAAGGAGAATGTAAGAAATGGCTAAGGAAATTACGCAGTAATAAATCAGATAAAGAATTAGAAATAGACTACAATGAAATTTTTCTTAATTTAGAAAGTTTAAGAAAAACTAAACAATTTAGTTTATGGAAACTTCTTGGAGAAAAAGAAGGAAGAGTTGGTATAACATTGGCCATGTTATGTATACTTGGTCAATATTTTTCTGGTGTACCAATTGTCATGTCTTTGTTAGCACCCATTTTTAATGAATCAGGATCAAACCTTTCTGGAAATACAATCGCCATTATTGTAGGAACTGTAAAAACGTTATCTTTTACATTCACCTCCTTAATTATACAGAAGACTGGAAGACGACCGATGTTGATTATTTCTGCTGCTATGGCTGGTATACCCATTTCTTGCCTTGGAATATTTTTTTACTTAAAACACTTAAATTCTCCTATTGTTCATCAATTTCAATGGATACCACTTGCATGCGTTCTAACCTATATTATTAGCTACTCTCTGGGGCTTGGACCTATACCATTATCTACAATGAGTGAACTATTTAGTACTGATGTCAGATCAACAGGTTTAGCATTTGTATCGACCGCAAGTTCACTTATTATGTCATTTTACATTGCTGCTTACCCTGTGCTTGCAGAGAACTTTGGAATTTACTCGTGTATGTGGATATTTGGAGGATCTTGCTTCATTAACTCTATTCTTTTTACCTTATTTTTGCCGGAAACAAAAGGAAAAGGTGATAGTGAAATTCAAAAGTTGTTAAAATACTATAAATTTTTTAAATAAAATTAAAAGTAAATAGTAGTTTTTGTAGTTTTCCTGTTTAATCTTAGCTTAAGTTATTTTTCAATGTCCAGTGTAATGTCCGGGTGTATAATGCCTGGACGGTAAAATAAAAATGAAATTGGTTTGTCGCTATTTTTAAAAATGTAGCCAAAAATGTTACTATACTGAATTCTGTCAACGCTAGTAGTATTGACAGAATTGGGATTAGAATTAGACAATACAAACCTTTATTCAACACTAGTCACCGACTAATTATCGAATCTATCACGAGTTATCAAGTCTTGAAGATGGCCATGTTTGCGCTTTTAAATATCTTAAATTATAACTCGAAGATTATACATTTAACCCTTAATTTTAATTTGTATCTTATGGCACAGAATAATAAACAATCAGAATGCCCACTCTCAGATGCCGCCCTTGATGTTTTTCAGCACGCGCGCCATGTTTTAAGAAAGAATTGATCTTCCTCAATACAATCTGTCCAGTTTAATTCATGAGAGCACCCAAACACTATATAAGACTCGAATGGACTCCAAACTTGACGAAACACTAACAAATATCAAATGCATATATGAGAATATAATATCAAGTATTCACTAGACAGCACAGGAGGTCTTAGGAATCAAACAAAATAAAATTAGTAACAAGCTTTGGTGGAATGAAGACGTCGAAAATGCGGTAACAGAAAATAAAAGATTATACCATATAAGTGGTTGAATATAAAAGATGACGCAGACAAAGACCGATACAATGAAATGAAGAAGAAAACTAGAAAGATAATTATGACCTCCAAAAATGATACATGGGACAGAAGGTGCAGAGAGATAGAATCTTATATTGGAGGACGACAATGCACTGAGGCGTGGAAGTTTATAAACTCTGTTAAGAAGCGGACTAACAAGACAGTGATTCTAAATCCCATAAATCCCGAGGATTGGACACATTATTACAAACATGTATTAAATGAGAACAGAGACGAATTTAAAGAAAATATGAATTCATCAAGAATCGAAATTCTGGGAGAGCATATTACCATAGATATCAACATAGTTCAAACAGCTATAGCAGGTATAAAGAATGGGAAAGCAAGTGGACCAGAGGGAGTAACTATGGAATTAATAAAGAATGGCTCAGAGAAATTACACAGAATGATCACGGTGATATTTAACGAATATATTAATGGAATTCCAACACCAGATGAACAGAAAACAGCATATATGACCCCAATATATCAAAAAGGTGACAAGGATATTGGTCACAAGTTCAATGAGTCGACTATACGGTCGAATACTACGGGACCTGATAGAGGAAGATTATCAATCGTCTGAAGACGAAGAATAAGGAGGATTTAGAGCAGGTCGTTCATGTACAGATAACATCTTCTGTCTTAAATAAATTATAGAAAAGAAAATTATGACAAATAGAGAGTTACATATGAAATCCTTTATAAAAGGTATATAAAAATGCCCCAAACGGGCTATCACAAACACATTGCAAAACGTTTTCGGATTAAACAATCCATCATCAGTGCAAACGGTTGTACATGCTAGTAGCCACCAAAATATATGGGTCAAAACCCTTTAAGTGTTTTAAATTTGTAGTTGTTTTACATTATTAGTAGTTATAATTTGTGATGTTTAAGTTATCGTTGGATAGGTAACATGGCGGCGTATGACTCTACATGAGTAAAATGGTCCTGAGACGAAGTGTCTACGAGGACCTGTTGATAACAACCGATAAACTACCATTTTTTGCTCACAATGAGACATTTAACCTAAAAAACTTCCACAAAAATTTCTCAGCTTTTAATAAAACGGTATTTTTTTTAATTAAAAAGTATGAATAAATAATTAATTTCCGATTATTATAAAAACTAAAAATTTTAATATACAATGTGTTAAAAAAAATGTAAACTATTTTTAAATTGATGTCATTGTGTTCCTAATAAATTCAAATTACATTTAATTAAAATTATATTTAATATGTAAATAAATTAACTTTTCTATGTTTTCTCAACAACCACTCCTATTTAGCGACCAACTTTTGATTCGTCGAGAAGGTTTTACTGTACTTGCTTAATGAGCTTTTTTCAAAGCTTCTTAATAGAATTGAACAACTAAAAGTATGTAAGCCATTGTTATACTTAATATTTCTAAAAAGGTGCCTCTTTGTATTTTATAAAAATCAGCAGCTGTAAATTCTGGTTCAACGGTGTTGCTAAATCGAATAAAATCTGAAAGTATCAGTGCACCTTTTGAATTTCTTGTCTGAACTAACAAAATTTCTTGACACAATTCTATAATATTCTTTGCTTCCTTGCTGGCAAAATCACAACATATTAAACCGAAGAAAACAACAATCTAAAAACAAAAAAATATTAATTAAAGACATTGTTATCGTAAAACGGGGTTACATTGAACCCGAGGGTTACATTGAACAGTTTTGCAATGAAGATTATATTTTTCTACAAGTTGGCCTAAACTTTTTTTTGGGGCCGATATATTTTTTTGAGGGTTACAAATATGTTTTTCTTGGACTTCCTGATAAAATTTCTGGCAGGTTCTCAAAATTAACAAAAATAAAATAAAAAATGGTTTCTGAAATAAAAGGTAGTAAAAAAAATCTCTCAAACTTTGGTCTGCAGCCGGCGATATGCAAAAGATATCTTCTCACGACTAATTTTACACGATACTAGTACCTATTTGAACCTTATTCTACATAATACCGTAAATGATTAGGGTTTTGAATATTTTTAACTAATTTATACAAAAAATATGTCAATTATTTTGGGAACGTGGGGTAACATTGAACGGCAGGATTGAACGTGCTTGGGCGGCGTCAATCAAGTTCCATCTAAATATTATTGTCTGGCGTTACGCTACCTCGTTTTGAATCATTTGAATAAAATTCACTCAACTCAGAGCTCAGTATAACATTGGTTGGCTTGGCGGTAGGAACATTGTGTGGTTAGGAAATTCAGTTGAGGTGCAATAGGTAGTGTAGTGCGATAATCTCAGTCCAAAATGCGTGAATACGTTAGAAAGTTGGGTAGTCGATCATACAAAAATTACACCTCTGATACTTTGGATCAAGCAATCCGCGAAATTAAAACAAAACAGTTATCACTTTCCAAGGCGTCGAAGAAATACAAAATCCCAAAAGGAATATTAAGTCACAAACCGAACAACAAAAAAAATGAAGGACGTCGGAAGGCCCACAGTTTTAAACAACGACGAAGAAAAGGCACTGGTCAAGATGCTTTTGAAAACCGCTGAATGGGGCTTTCCTTTGACTCGCGACGATTTACGACATGCTATGAAAAGACATTTGGATACAATGGATAAGATAGTTAAGCGGTTTAAAAATAATTTGCCTGATATCGACTGGATTAAAGGTTTTCTGAAAAGAAACAGAGAAATAAGTGTAAGAAAAACTCAAAATATAAACCCAAATAGAGCATCTTCCACTAGAGAAGTTTTCATTGCTTATTTTGATAACCTTGAGCAATGTCTAGACGGAGTTTCCCCCGATTTTATATACAATTTCGATGAGACAAATTTATCGGATAATCCTGGGTCTGCAAGATGCTTTTTTAAAAGAGGGATGAAATACCCAAAACGTTTATTATCTCAATGAAAATCAAACATTTCTTTGATGTTTTGTGGAAGCGCTTCAGGAGTTCTGCTGCCTCTGTATGTAGTCTACAAAGCAGAAAACCTTTGGACAACTTGGACGGAAAGAGGACCTGATAAAACCAGATACAACCGAACAGCTCATGGATGGTTCGATTCTGCAACATTTTTAAATTGGTTTACTTCTGTTTTCCTTTATTCCACGAGACATGAAGAAGGAGTCAAAGTATTAATCGGGGATAACTTGGCGAGCCATTTTTCTGAGCAAATTATCAGACTGTCGGTTGAAAATAATATTCGATTCATATGTTCGCACCACTGAAGAAACAATGGCGTGCAATACTCAGCGATTATAAGTTAGCAACGGGATCAACTGGTCTTCCAAACGAGATGTTTCCAAAATTTTTAAAAAAGCTGATGTTAAAATTCGCAGAAACTGGTGAACAAAACCTTCAAAGTGGCTTTCGGGCAACGGGTATATACCCTTTAGACAGAAATCAAATATTAAAGAAATTGCCTGGTACTGATGATACTGAATCAAATGAAAGTTTTGGAAACAGTTTAAACGACACAATTTTACAATTTCTACAGGATATTAGGAACAAAAAGAGAGCTAGAACTCAAAGAAAAAAGAAAATTAATATCGCACCGGGTAAAAGCATTGGATTGGAAGATTTTGAAATAGGAGAAAGTTCTGAATGTTCTGCACCACCCACGAAGAATAAGAAAAAGTCTGCTAAGGAATTGAATAGTGACAGTTCCGACTACGAACTAGAGCTTCAGGACGAAAAGATCTTGAAATTTTTCGTTGGTCTTATAAAAAGAAAAACTGCCTGATGGAGATTATGTGGTCAAGTTCCTGAGAATTGCGAAGAATTCTGCCTTCTATGCGCCAGAGGTAAATTTTTCAGTGCATTTTGCATTATACCAAAATCGATTGTTGATTTATTTTCAGATAGACGACATTTCAGTCGTAAGTTCTTCAGATTTTGAGAGACTTCTGCCAGCTCCAGCTGAAGACCGCCGCGAAAAAGTGGTTTTTTCGATCCAATTTGATGGGTATACTCTGGGCTAAAATCCTTCTAAAGACTGTCGTTTATACGTTTCCCTTATGTTTTGTCATTTGACATGAAAATTAACAATTTATTTAGTTTGAAATATGATTTTATAAGACTGTGTAAAAGAATTTAAAGTTTATTAAAAAAGAATGTAAAAAAATATTTTGTTAATAAATATAACCCTTGAGAAAAAAAAAACAAACAAAACTCTCCCCACTAGTTTTTTCCGCTTGTTTCACTGGCGGGGTTAAATTGAACGAATAACTAACCTGTGGGCTCGTAGACACCAATTTATACTACTGTTCAATGTTATCCCGAACCCGG